TCATTAATTGCTTCAAAAAAGAAAAAAGAATGAAATGTTTTAAAGAAGTAAGAAAAGTCTCGAGTGAGACGGGGGGGGGAACAGGACAAGACAGGAGAGGAGAGGAGAGGAGAGGAGAGGAGAGGAGATGAGAGGAGAGGAGAGGAGAGGAGAGGAGAGGAGAGGAGAGGAGAGGAGAGGAGAGGAGAGGAGAGGAGAGGAGAGGAGAGAGAAAGGAGAGGGGTCAGTGTAGGGTTTTCACTGTGGGAAAGAAAGAGAGAGGAGGGGAGGAAAGGAGATGAACAAGATGTTTTTGAACGACGAGATCATTGCATGAGAAGACCATACTTGACAGCATTCCAGATGAACTCGACTGAGTCAGCAGCGGAGAAGAGGAAAGCAGGTGAGATCTACTCTGCCATGCTGCCCCCCTACGTTTCGTGTTTCTGATGTGAAAATTGTTCAAAGATGAAGAAGAAGAGAGAGAGGAGCCGTCGAAGAAGCCTCGCCAGGAAGAAGATGGCGAGGAAGGTACATGTTGTTCCTCTTCGTCTTCTTCCGGCCCCTTTGACGCCCCATTGCTTGCAGACGACAATGCTGAGCAGGAGGGGAACGGTTCGAGAGAGCGATGGGACAGCGTGTCCGGTGACTGTTCCCAGCAGGAAAGAAGTTCCAAAAGCGCATGGTGTGCGTACAGATGGCGTACCTTGGGACAAACTACTCCGGGTTGCAGAAGTAACAAACAGACTCCATCTTCCCTGCCTTCCTCCTGACTTGTCCTCGTGTAGGAATCCAGGGCAGTCAACGATAGAAGGAGAGCTGGAAAGAGCTCTGCATGACTCCAAGTTCATCTCGGACCTCAACTTCGGGCATCAGAAGAAGGTGATAGGCTGTTGCAGATGTGAAGCCGCGGCACTTGCGCTGATGTTGCTCGTGAGTGGTGACCCGATGGTCTTGTGATGTGATTGGGCAGCGATGAACTGTTGATACGCTAATGTTGGTTTGCCTTGCGGAGATTGCTTGTAGATCTCAATTGTAGTTTCACTTGCTCATACGATACTTCTTCTTGGTAACTCGTTGATGTGACTTGAGTTGAAGGTTCATTGGAACAGAGCAGCCAGGACTGACAAAGGGGTTCATGCTCTGGGAAATGTCGTTGGACTCAAGCTCCTCATCAATCCTGATGTTGATATGGTGGAAGAAGTCAATAAACACCTCCCGTCAGGTAGAAGTTGCTGCTGATGCTGCTGCTGCTGCTGATGATGATGATGATGATGGTGATGGTGATGGTGATGGTGATGGTGATGGTGATGGTGATGGTGATGGTGATGAGATGGAGATGATGATAAAATCCGAAGGTTTGTGAGACCTACCTACGGTCGGTCTCGCCTTTCCTCGGTTTTATCTCTGTTCGTGCTCCATTGTGTGGCAAACATGTGCGATCATGCGCACAAGTGCATCTTCGCCGTTGCAGCAATGAAGATGTAAGAGCGGATGGGACGCGGGCGTGTTAGGATGACATGCTCGATCAAACGTCTGCCGACATGCTGCTGAACTTCGTGTTCATCTTTGAGCAGAGCAGCCGTTCTTGTGTAAATGTTCAGTGATGTTTGTTTTGTTGTCGTGGATGGAAGCTTTCTTTTCTTGATCATCGCAACTTGTTCATGTTGTGCCCACAAGTGCCAACATGAGAGCGAGATCAAGGAGATTTTTTGCACATGGGACGCGGGGATATCCGTCTTCTTGATATCTTCGATCAAACATTGGCAAATATGTTGCTCGTTCTGTTTGTCTTGACATTCCATGCCTTGACTTGTCCACCTCACAGACATTCGAGTACTTGACATAAAGAGAGTGACGAAATCGTTTCATGCTCAACAACTTGCAAATGGAAGACAATACCATGTGAGAGAGCTGATGCCTGACTCCTACACCTGTGAACTTGTTGTAGTATCTCATTCCAACCTTCGTGTTCGAATCCTGCGAAGCGCCGGAGACATCTGAGTTGATACCAGAAGGTTTGTCATGTTGTTAATGATGCCTTTTGCTTCGATGACGTAAGGTAGTGATGATGATTGCGGTCGATGTTCCTGTCGTGATGTACGTTTAATGGTGTGCATGTAATGAAGTAAATTTGATGATTCACGAGTAGTAGTGGTTGAGACGTTGAATGCATTGGACAGGAAAGACTGAAAATAACAAGAACTTCTGGGAAGGCTGCTCCAGGTTGCTTCATCTTTCACTGAGCAAACTGTCAATTGATGCGGTTGTGATTGCTCAGTTATACACCAACAGAGGAGGAGATCGCCAAGGCAAAAGATTTCAGAGTGACAGGTGCTTGTCCCTCATTTCCTCTCAGTGCTAGTCCAAACAACCTCTCAGCAGTGTTTCATGCTGTTCCCTTCTCAACTTGACATCTCAAACTCAATCTTCTTCCATGTTCACATGTTCTCCCCTCGCACTCGCGCTCGAACTTCAATGCTCTTTCTTCGTTGTCACCAATTTCATTCTAGATGATGTCGTCGAAAGGGTTTCAAAACTCCTTTCTCAGTACGTCGGTCTGCCATGTCGTCAGCACATCTGCCAGACCTCTGAATGGCTCAACAGGAACTCACTCGTTCCACAACTTCACCTCTGGAAAGAAGAAAGGAGACGCTGATGCGAAGCGATACATAGGTAGGTGTTGAGATCATAATTCATCCTTCCATGTCATCTCAGTATGTTATGCCAAGTTGTGACATGTCGTTTCCTCTTGTTTTCTCCGGCGTGTTTGTACAGTCTCTTTCAAAGTTGGGGAACGTGTCATCTTTGACGGCTATGAGTACCTGGAGCTGAGAGTCGAAGGTCAAAGCTTCCTGCTCCATCAGGTGAGAATGGTCAGTTCCCTGTTCGGTCTGAAAGTTGCTCAGATAAGGAAGATGATTGGACTTGTTGTATTCACAATCAGGTTGCAATGGCTCGGATGTTGTTGTTGCCGACGTTGCTGTTGCTTGTGCTTGCAGATGGTGATGTCATTTGTAATAGTGTGACAGAGATGTTGTTATGGAGATGGGACGGACGTGCATATTTGATAACCTTTATATCTGTCGTGTGCAGGTATAAATGCGATAACAAAGAGAAACTGAGCATCGTTTGGTCGGATAAGAAGGTCAGAATGCCGACGATCACGATAATCTAGACTTTAGGAGGAGGAGGAGGAGGAAGAGGAAGAGGAGGAGGAGGAGGAGGAGGAGGAGGAGGAGGAGGAGGAGGATCAGGAGAAGGAGGAGGATCAGGAGAAGGAGGAGGATCAGGAGGAGGATTAGGAGGGTCCCTCCTTGACTTTGTTGTTCAGGTTCATATTCCGCTAGTTCCCGGTGTCGGTTTGTTCTTGAACAAAGTTCTCTACCGCACTTACAACAAGTCGAATTCTTGTCATCCTCGTCTCCACGTGTTGACAAGGTGGATAGGACGAATAAACATCTCCAACCCCTCGACTTTGAAGATGTGAAGGTAACAACTTTGGATGTGATGATGTCTTGTTGAGAAGCAAGACAGGACAAGATCGAAGACTTCAAGACGAAGATGGTGCATATTGTTGCAATGTTTCCTCACAGCTCACTGACGCAATGAAGATGCTGCCGGAGATCGTTGCCAGGGAAAGGGACGATCATTGTACATTAAAGTGGTTGAATGAAATTAAGGTGAGGAGATTCTGACGCGAACTTGTTTGATCTGTTCTCAGGTCTTCTACAACTCATGGTTGTGATCGTGTGACACTAGGCGAAGATGGTAGAATTTGAATGAAACAAACCAGACAACGAAACAAACAGCTCAAGTTAGAGGTTTTCACAGGGACAACAGACTGCTGCTTGCTTTCTCGAACTGTTTGTTTCAAACTTGAAAAGTCGATCAGCATCTCCACGTCTCTTCTCCTCACTCCATGTCCGAGTCGTCGTCGCTTCCCTGCACCGCATCGTTGTCGTCGTCTTCCACCTCGTAGTCGAAGGCGTCGGCAGGGACCTGAGATGAAGATCAGTCGAGGAAGAACGAGATGATGAAGCAGACATGCTCGTCAACAAGAGGGAAAGAAAGAAGCCAGAAGGAGCGAAAGAACATGGAAGAGGGACGAGGTGGTGGAAGAGGGAGCAGAAGAAGTAAGGGGAAGCCAGGGAGGAGGGAGGAAGAGGAGCGAACAGGAAGATGAGGGGACAGGGACGGGGGTCACCTTGTAGAGGTTGACTGTGGGCCTGTTGGGGTCCTTGAGCATAAGGTACTTGCAGATGGGCGACTCGTCCACCGGCAGCTGCATCAGACGCTTCATCACCGTTGTCGCGATGCCCCAGATGTTCTCGATCTTGAGATCAATCTGTTCCACACGCCATCAGTTCCCCTGCTGTCTTCTTGCACCCCTCCTCTCTCCCTCTTCGTCTTCTTCCCCCTCTTTCCCTTCCTGTCTCCTCCCCCTCCATCCCCTCCTTTACGTCTGTCCTTCACCTGCTTTGCGAACTCCTCAGGCCTGTACAGCTGATTGTGGAGGACAAAGTGGGTGGTGTTGTCCCTGAAGAGAGCACATCAGAACTATCCCTCGACTCCTGCAATCAGCTCACTTGCTGTGAGCACGCGAAACGTATCCGATCTTGATGTAGTCCACTCCGGCAAGCAAGGCCTGCATGCACAATGAGCTTTGCACTAACGGATTTGCAGTCCACCTGGCAGGTCCAGCGAGCAAGCTTGTTCCTGTTGTTCTTAAGCTCGTTCGCAAGCACAGCCTACAAGCATGACGTCATCGCTCCTCCTCTCCCCTTCTCTTCGCCTACCGCGCGTTGAGACTCGAGCTTCTGCCTCCAGTCGATTCCGCTGGTCTTGGGGTCAAACTCGTTCCTGTGGCATCATGAGCGCAGCCTCTACTTCCGCTGAATGATCTCACAAGGCCTTGACTGTCAGAAGAGCATTCGATCCGTCCTTCGTTTGCATGACAGCATCCACCTATCATCATCCAGTCAGAGCGTCGCACCATGACCATCGTCAGGGTCTCACCTCACATCGAACCACCAGGGTCATGTCGTCATCGAGCTCAAACTTGCGATATCTGAAGGCCTTGCCAGGAGGCAATTGAGGGTCTTGTCCTCGCTGTAAACCAGTCAGTTTGACCTCTACTTACTCCCTCTCCGCCTCCTCTCCCACCTGCGACCAGGACTCGCGCAATGTCGCATCTCCCTTACTCATTTGCGCCTAATCTCAGTCAGCACCACAGCACCACAGCAACGTTCGTCTCAAGTACAGGGCTCTCCGACTTGTCAAGGTTCTGCTGCGAGTAGCAGTAGTTGATGTAGCCTGCCTCCGTCGCCTGGGATGTGGAAGTCAGTGCGACAGAGCTGTTGGTCAGCAGGCGCACCAAGGCAGTCATGCTATTCATGTTCTGATCCTTGAGATCATCATCGGGGGCATCCTTGAAGCCCTGTCAGTACCTCGTACTGCTGCATACTGGGAAAACAAACCTGGGCGGTCTCGTTGACTGTAGTGTCATAGACCGATGATCCCTGCAAGAACTTTCAGAACGAGCCGCGAATAGCTTTCTTAGTGGATGAGATCTGAACATTTTGTTTCCATGCCGTGATGTGAATTAAATACCTCGCGGATATCCAAGAAGATTGAAGATCCTACCAATGGATCAGACTGGAAGTCAAATTATGGTTGCTTAGTACCTGCTCTTTGAACGACCATGTCCCAAGAGATCACAGAGCGAGGGGCGGACATAAGAACAGCAAGAGCGATGTCGGTGGTAAAAATTTGAGCCTGACAATATCTTAGCTTCTGCATGCGTGCAGGCTTTGTCATGGCAATTGTGCACCTTGCCCTGGCTTGCAAGCTTCTTGATGACAGGGTCGTCGATGGAAGCGAGATGGAATGGCTTCGGCTCTTGCATCTTCTTGAGCTGGATTGCTATTGGTTCGCGTAAGTCAAGAATCTGTCGCTCAATAGAACTGACCCGTTCGCACTGATGCCTTGTCGATGGCTTTGCTCATGTTATATAGCGTGCCAACGAATGCGAGCTCTTCGGCACGAGGGTCTTCGTCCGCCTTCACATGGACGTCAGCTCGACATGTCAGAGAAGAGCACGATACAGACCTTCAGCTTCTCCATCTGAGGGAGAGACATGGTGAAGTCCTCCTGCGAACAAGACGTTAAACTCTCGGCGCGCTGCACGTACCGACAGTTCTTACGTTGCCTTTCTCGCCATCAAGTGCAGTCCACTCCGGCTTGACCTCAACAGAGGACACCCTGATTCTCTGGGGCTTATCCCTTCAGGAAAACGTCAGAACCTTTCCCGCTCCTGTCTCGCCACTCCACCTCCAAGAGTCGAAGCCACGATTCTGCATGCGAGCTCCCCTGTGTCGAAGTGAACCGAGGTCTTGAGCTCACCACAATGACACACACCTTGCTCCATAGCGACTGCGAGGGTCCTTCTGTGCAGGATGCTTCTGCTGCTGCGACTGACCATCCCTTCCTCGGTCAGACCATTGCGGTCCCTGGCCACGGAGCCCTCCACGCTGGTTGGTCATGCCAGGACGCCTGGAGCCTGCATAACAATCAGCAAGAGACGGACAGGAAACGATGTGTCATGACAACATACCTGGTCCCCACTTGGGTTTGGCTGTCGTCTTCGTGTCTACCAGGTGGAAGCCTTCATCGTCAACCTGCAGCAGCAGCAGCCATTCAATCCACACAAGTATATTGGCAGGCGATCCACGAGGATGGGATAGGATAATGATCGCACCTGCTCGATGACGAAAGGAGAGGCTTCTGTCTCCGCCCCTCCCTTGTTCCTAGTCCAGTGTTTCCCTGTCGCAATGCAGAGTGAGAAGATACGTAATCACTGCAAGATCACAGTTACTTTCGCGATCACGGGTGAAGATCCACTCGCAAGCTCTTCCAAGCCTGTCGTTCTTCGAGAACGGAGCATACGGAAGATACTTGAGCTTCTCTGGGCAAGAGTCGATTGTTGGACCCCAACCCGAGGCATTGTCGTTGATCTGCCATGACAAGAAAGGAATTCAATGCCAAGAGACACAACGATGAATTCTTGTTGGGTGTGGCTAATCTAAAGACACACGTCCTGAACCCTTTCTATTCTTGAATCAAAAAGTAAAAGGGCTACTTGAATGCATGGATGTATTAACATGTTCTCATACAGCATGTCTCATAGCAAAGCTGGTTGCATGTTCATTGCTGATTCAACTCGCTCACTCGCCATTGTCGCCTCATCCCCTCCCACTTTACCTGCGGCAGAGCGAAAGACGCCATGCGACACGTGGCGATACCAGACAACCCGCTTAATAACCAGCGTATAGTCTAAAATAACATAATTAAGTGCTATTTTTAGCCGATATAGCTAATTTCACAGGAAAGATCATCTTTCTTAAGTATGTCTTCTGTCTTTTTAAATAATCTATTTATGTCTCTGAGGTGAGGGCGAATATTGTACCTTTGATATATCACCCCTTCTTTTCACCTGAATTGTTCTCAATCCTTGTGGGTACCCTACCCCTGCTGTGTTTTACCACCCCTAATTCCCCCCGGCCTCCGGGTTTGCCACCCTACCCTCAAGATGGGATAAGTACAGTACCCATCCTCAGAAACTACCGAGTAACTAACTTTCAGTACCTACTTTACCACTGTACCTACCCCCCCTTTTGCTGATCAAACAAGCTAACCCCTACTTCTTAGTGCCAAGGTACCCCTACCCCCCTCCTGGACGATTCATCCGGTGTAGTCTCAGTTCGCCTGGATTTTCGAGAAGCCATGGCAGACGTGTTGCCGCTCTCAGAGGTACCTCCTCTTCCCGCCATCGACTGCAAGCCCTTGCTCGACGACAAGAAGGTCAGAGAAAACTTCATCAACGTGCAAGCTAGCACAGACGAAGATGCCTGGAAGGATGCCGGTTGCTGCCTCTTAGGGTATCCCTGCAATATGCTTTACAACTACAGTGACATGCATGAAACCATGAAGTTTCACCTCAACAACGTGGGCGACCCTTACAGAGGATCAAATTATCGCATTAATTCCATGGAGATTGAAAAGGATGTCCTTGATTTCTTCGCAAAGCACTGGCATGTCGAAGAGGAGTATTGGGGCTACATCACATCATCGGGGACCGAAGGTAACATGGAAGGGCTTTACATAGGCAGAGAACGTTTCCCCGAGGGAATTCTATACCTGTCCAAAGACAGCCATTACTCTATATTCAAGATTGCGAGGTTGTTTCGGATGAAATTCCAGGTTGTCAATTCTCGGGAGAATGGTGAAATGGATTACACAGAATTTGAGCAGCTGATCCAACAAAACGCGGGTGTCCCTGCGATCATCAATGCGAACATTGGAACAACCATGAAGGGAGCTGTTGATGACATCGGGAAGATCGCAGAGATTCTCACCAAGTACAACACCGAATTCCATATCCATGCCGACGGCGCGCTGATGGGTTTTGTGCTGCCCTACATCTACAATAACCTTTCCTTCAAGAGGCACATCAACAGTATAGCAATATCTGGTCATAAGTTTCTCGGAACTCCGTTTCCTTGTGGCGTATTCGTCACGGAGAAGAAATTCCGTTCCCTGATAGAAAACAGGATCGACTATATTGATTCGGTCGATGATACCATTCTGGGGTCAAGGAATGGACATGCTCCCTTGTTCCTGAAGCACATCATCACGGTGAAGCAGAACAAAGGATTCAAGGAGGATGTCTTCCGGTGCTTGTATCTTGCTCAGTGGCTGGTGAATCGCATGCAGAGTCTGGGGATCGACGCATGGATGAATGATCTCTCTATCACAGTGATCTTCCCCCGGCCAGCAGAGATTGTCGTCAAGAGGTGGCAGCTCGCGTCGAATGGCAATCTCTCCCATGTGGTTGTAATGCCGCATGTCACACAAGAGATGCTGGAGGTGTTCTTGAAGGAGTATCTCGCAAACCCTTCTCCCTCCTAGCCGCCCACTTGCCAGTCGGATGCAGACAACCCGATGTAATTTCCCCACAAGATCCTCTTTGAACCATGAACTGATGGAATGAAAGACTCGTGATATCTGGCTTGTTCGTATACCTACGTCTCTACGGGCTGAACCTCTCACTGAACTTACCGAATACACTGTCGGAGGCTCTGGATGGCAGAGCTGATCTAGCTCACTATCCTTCCAAGTTCTCGGAGTTCGGGCCAGTGCAAGAAGGTGCTGCCGTGCCGACGTGTATCTGCAGTTCCTCCTGATAACTTGAACCAGTCCATTCCGGCACCGGGCGAGATCGTGTGGCTTCGCCGAGGCTGATGTCGGAGTCCGAACACTCGAAAGACTCCCGTTCTGTAGCCCGGGGGACGGGAGAATCCCGACTCGAAATTCCTCACTATGTGGCTTTATATGGCTTTATATACCCCCGTACCTGCAGGGTTGTTAATTAAAAACAGCTTGTGGATCAAGGAGGGTGGGGTGTCCTGAGAGTGACGACGTTCGAGCATCTTGAAACATGAAGGTAGGAGGATACCTCAAAAGACAAGGTGAGAATCATAGAGAAAATGATGGGTGAGGGTGATAAGGGGAATGTCAAAGTTGTGGCCTAAAAGTTGTTTTTGTGCACAAAGGGGGTGGGGTAGAACCGCCCGCTGCTAGATGAGAACACTGACATATATTGACTCCCCATGAGATAGTCTGAAAATAATTTAGTAATCAAATATTAGTATAGAAAAGCTTAGTCACAAACCCACAAATTATTCCTCCAGTTGACGGAAGGGGGAGGGGGAGGGGACATGGATTTGAGATTAAGAGCTGACTTAGAAAACCCGCAAGCTTGGGGTGTGTGGAGGAATCTCACGATTTGAGTGGGGACGTTGTCGGGGAGATGGCGGACATGGCAAGAGCGGCGTCAGGCGGCAATGGTGGCGGGAAAGTGATAGACTTCAGTAAGAGGAGAGAGAATTCGAACGTCGATTATGCTGATCATGTGGACATTGATGGGTTTCCCCTTCGAAGGCATGTCATCCCAACCTCACCCAGCAACAGCCGTCGTAGTTTGCTTGCAGATGTTTCTGGGGGCACCTCCGAGAGCGAGGAGGCGTCTGATGATGAGAAGAAGAAAAGCTTATATTCGGATGACAACTCGAAAGAAGACAATGAGATTCAGATGAGCCCTCCTCGCGTTCCTGCGCAGCACATGGAGCAGCAGACAATAACACCGGTCCCGGCGAAACTTTTCGGTCTGTTTGCCATGAACTACTACAGGTCTATGTGGGCTTTCTGTATTCTAGTCTCTTTCTCAACAGCAATTGCTGTATATTGCATTGACAACATCTCGTTTGTCGATAGTCTGTTCGTCGCAACCTCCGCATACACGGGTTCAGGTCTTTCCACTATCCCAATGAAAGCTATGTCCAACGGATCCTTCGTTGCTCTCTACGTCGGGATGACGCTGGGGGGGCCTGTCTTCCTCCTCTTACCCCCTCTCATCTACAGAATTCTTGTGTTCTACTCGCTGCAGCCATCGGTCGAGGAGTTCCTGGCGTCCCAGAAGGGCAAGTTCCTCCCTCAAGCCCAGCGATTGATCGGGCTGGTCAGCGAGAGGAGGGCACAGGTGCGAGGTTTGAACATGCTGCTCGTCGCTCTCGTTTTCTACCTCCTCTTCTTCCTATGGGGAGGGCTTGGCCTCCTCTACCTCGCCATCTCCTCCCACCCGAAGTTGCAGGAGCTCAAGGACAGAGGGTTCAACAACTTTTGGTATACGGTCTTCCTGGGCACGAGCGCCTTCTGCAACTGCGGCTTCACCTTGACTTCGGATCAGCTCTACAGCATGCAGACGTGGACGACTTCCTACCTCCTCCTCTCCCTCCTCGCGCTCGCGGGGAACACGTTCGCTCCCATCTTCCTGAGGGCTATCCTCTGGCTCATGTACAAGTTTGCCAGCTTCCTGCGGCTGGACAAGGACGGGATCAGATACGCTCTCGACCATCCTCGGCAGGTTAGTGTTGAAGAGGATGGTGATGGTGCGGGGCTGACTTGTTGATGCAGATGACGACGTTCTTGTTCGACGTGCGGCAAACTAGAATGCTCTTCCTCATCCTTGTCGTGATCAACATCGTTCAGTACGTCGCATTCCTTGCCACCTGCCTCCACCGCTCGAGGCTTCGGACCCAGTTGAGTCCTCTACAGATAGCAGGAGCAGGATTCTTCCAGACCGTCTCCACCAGATCGGCAGGGCTGCAGATCTTCGACATGAACGACCTCAACCAGGGCATGCCTGTGCTCTACATCTTCATGATGTACCTCTCCTCCGCTCCCTTCGTCAGCAGGATGTACATCTCCGAGGAGAACCTCGACGAGGACGGGCAGAGTCGCCCAGCCGTGCTGACGGTCCAGGACGCGCAGGGGAAATTCCTGCGGGAGTACCTCATGCGCCACCTCTCCTTCCTCTTCGCAGGCTTCATGCTGCTCTGCTTCACCCACGACTCCGAAGTCTCCCTGGACGGCCAGCCGGTCGGCCCCTTCCCCCTCATCTTCGAGCTCGTGTCCGCCTACGGCAGCGTCGGCCTGTCCATGGGAGCGCCAGGGCAGCCGTACAGCCTGTCGGGCGAGATGTCGACGCTGGGGAAGACCATCATCATCGTTGCCATGTTCCTCGGTAAGCACCGAGGCCTCCCGACGCACACGGACATGGTGCTCAACTTTCGGCACATGCACTTGAGGAAGCAGCTGCTGCTGGCGAAGGAGGAGGCAGGGATCAAGGTGTCATGGAGCTGGTTCGAGTTCGACACCCGGCTCATCCGCGTCCCCAGCATGGACCTCAGGAGATACTTCGATCGCTCGCAAAAGGTGCGATCAAGAGGGATAGAGACAGCCTCCATGGCAGGAGAGAGGGCTCCAGGCGCGCCTCCTTCCCTGTCCCCTGTCCCCGAGGACAGCCCCTACGTGGACACCAGCGCTGCTGCTGCCATGCACCTACTGCACTGGAACCCCAACCGCCCTCGCTTCATCCCCAAGAGCATGGACATTTCACCACTGCTCCGCCCCCGCAGCTTAGAGGAGGCGAACATGGAGGTGTTTCCTCCCCTGGACCTGCGTTATCTCAGCGACACGGACTCGAGCAGAGCAGAATCCGAGACGGCATCCAACTATCCTAACAATGAGGATCGTGTGGAGGAGGAGGAGGTGATGGAGGAGGAGGCGGGTGCTGGAGGAATCTTGTCAAGCTCTCTCCTCAACAAGACCACCTTGCGCAAGTTTGTCACAGGAGCATGGAACGCAATCTGGGAGCCGAGGTTGGACGTTCTCCACACAGACCAGCAGGTCCGGCACGAGGACCTTATGTCTTCGGACCCCTTCTTCAACAAGCTCATGCTCGACCGCCTTGCTGCGGAGGAGAGCCTTTCCTTCATGCTCCCCTCCTCGGATCCCAACCTTCCCAGGAACTATCATTCCCTCGACATCACCGACAAAGTCCCTTCCTTCCGCATGAGGAAGTCAAAGTTGAGCGACGCCGCGTCTGTGTGAGAGCCAACGACCTTTCTTCTCGACGTTGAGATTTTTGACTTGAGATGTTCTCAACGTTGGATATATTCTTTCAGAACCATGAGTTTTGCTCTATCAACCACCATTTTTGCGATTGGAGCTTATCAATAAATTCTGCTTGTCTTCGAGGCATGCACGAACCTTGTTTGAATTATGTTTTATCATATATTGTTCGTTTGCTTTACATCGATCATCTTCACTGGCAGAGGCCAAGTCGCCGAAACTCATCATCTACAAACTTCTTCACATCAGTCGCGCACTTGTAGAAGACCTGTGTCCACAAGTCAACAAGAAAGAATGCACGTCGTTCGATCTCACCGATTCTTTTGGGTTGTAAGTTTTGCAGTTATCGCACATCAAGTTGATATCTGCCATGAACATTTCCTTTGTCTCTGTTTCGCCGCTTGTAAGCTCCACAAGACATCTCACGATTCACAAATCTTTGAAACTCACTGTAGAATCCCTTGTCAAGTCGAACCCTCATCGCAGACAAGTCAATGGGATCTTTGATGACATCGTGATAGTCAGGAACGTCTTCTGCTCTGACCGGCTCAAGAAAGGGCCAGGCTTGATCGTACTGACGTTGTATGTGTCACAGCCCACAGCAAACGAACCGGTTGCACTTCACCTTCGTAGTGTTTGCAAGGATTTCATTCAGAGTTTGCTTCAGCAGTTCAGCGTTGGATTCTCTTTCCTGGACCAAAAGCGTCACAAACAGGAGGGATAAGGAGTAGAGCCAGACAGTCATCAATCCCCGGCCCTGTAGGTGAGATGCAGCGGAAAAACCTGATAAAACTCAGTCAAATGTCTTTTCAGCGCGGGACCTGATTGCTGAGCGTTGAAACAGGACATTTCATCGGTAAACTTTCAACTCCACATCATCACACCCCTCATGCAACAACATGCTGCAAGCCATGTTACCCACCTCCCTCAAGAACGCCCGGAATGCTCTCTAGTTCAATGCTCTGCCAAGGATTTTCAGTCAGAAGCGTGCTCAGGTATGAGATCTGATGAGAGCCAGGAAGTCTTACATCCTTCCCTTCTTTGAAACAGTTGAGTCCCGGATAAACAATGTCATGCCTGGTCAACTGAGATATCTTGTCCTCTACCGCCTTGCGCTGCCGTTTCACCATGGAAGGGATCTCAAGATAATCTATGTGCGGGTTGATGTAACACTCCATGAGCGTTCCGCCCTCATAATCTTTGATGTTTGGCGCCCATCTATCTCTATGCATGCTGATCTGCATGTGAAAGCCCTGCTTCTTGAAGTAGCCAATGGCATAGTTATCGGCATATGTTACAAAGTGGTCCAGGTTGTCCCTTGTCTTACAGTAGTGTTTCGTTTGGTTCATCAATCTCGTGCCATACCCCCTGACTTGCTGTTCTGTGCTCACCGCACAAAATGCAATCTCTCCCAACTTCTGCTCGTAGTAAGGACGGTAGCAGATCCCCCCAATGGCCTTCTGGACTCCGTCAACGGTCTTTATAGCACAGATAGACTTGTGGTTTTTGTCGAAGACGAGACGAACGATGTACTCCTTGGGCATCTTAGGGAGCTGCGTCCCAAAGATTTCCTTCAGCTCGCACAGAAATCGAAGGCTTGTGGGTCTGCCATCGTTCCACACACACTTGAAATGCAAAATCCCTGCTTCCTCCTCCTGCTTTGCTGTGAAGTCTCTGGATTTGATCTCTGCCTCTTCCGCCGTCGCTGTACCTGCTACTGCTCCTGCTCCTGCTCCTGCTCCTGCAACCCCTGATGCTGCTACCATTCCTACTGTAGCTGCTCCTGCTCCTGCTCCTGCTCCTGCTCCTGCTCCTGCTCCTGCTCCTGCTCCTGCTCCTGCTCCTGCTCCTTCAGTCCTCCCTCGCTTGTTGTCGGACATGGGCGGGCAGGCTAGAGGAGATCGCTTACCAAACTCTCTTATCTTACCCCTACCATCACCTACCCCCACCCCCTTCATAAAGTTTCTCAGTATCTTCGATACTGAGAAATCACCCCTACTCACATTTCATAACCCCTCCCCATCAAACTAATTATACCCGTTACGGTCGTTACACATGCCCTTGGCCGGGAACTTCACTGCTGAGTGCGTCCCGGAGTCCGAGTCCGGGCCGGTTTCCGACCGTTCAAGGGCCGGGACCCGGGCTCCCGGTCCAGGCCAGCTCAGCCTGCAGTGGCGGCTGAGAGCGGCCCCCGTCATCGCCGGGCATGAGTTTCAGCCTACGGTGGAGAACGATCTCAAAAGGAGAACTTTTACTATGATGATTACTTTTAACGGTGCATTCACCACCATCCGTTTTTACTTTTAACAGCGGCGTGATGATTTACATAATCGGGCCGCCACGGTACTTGGCCTCAGTATTGAGGCTAGCTGGTCAAATTGAACCGCAACCATCAGGCTTGGCGGCTTGCTGGTCACGAGCCAGAGTTTGCGCTGGAGTTGCTCGTCTGCCCCTCTGACTTGGGTCTCAGCCCTGCCGGAAGCCGTCAGCTCCACCACAGCAAGTCACCAGCAGTTGGGCCCACCTGTAAGCTCTTCGATCTGCTTCCAGAACTCTCCGATGGAGTTCAAGGCTCCTGCGAGAAGATGAGGAGGGAGGAGGGAGAAACGAAGGAGAGCAAGCAAGGAGCCAGTCGAGGAGGGCAAGAACTCTCTTGTTTTGGTCTCCTGCAGATCTCTCTTGAAACTAAGAGAGGGAAGGAGGTAGATGGGAAGATGGAAGGGCCTGAAGAGAATGTTGTGTACCTTCCAGCGGCTCCGGTTCCTTGGGCGATTCTGCCTCGGCCTCCCCTTGGGTGTTTGCAACATTTTTGTCTTCGGTATTGCCAGTGACTGGAACAGGATGAGGCAAAAGCGACTCACAACCGTCATCATCAACCTCCTGTATGCTTGTGGCTCGTCGCTTCTTCGTAATCAGGAAGAGCCTCGCCTGCATATGCTGCACCTCCTGCTTCGCCCCTTGAATATTCTACTGCCCCATCTCCATGGTCAAGTACTGAAAGGAAGACGTAAGAATGACGCTCGGTGAAGATCTCTCCGTGGTGATAGGAAGTGCCACGTCAGCAAACTAAGATCATCGCACTAAGGCACAAGGACACCAAGGGCGGACAAAGAGAGGGGGAGCCGAGCACTCAGACCTGCAAGTTCAGCACTTACGACTGGGTCTGCTGGGTCCTCTCCTTCCTCCTCCAAGGGAGCCTCGAAGTCGTCAAATCCCTTCTCCACATCCTTCTGCTTCTTCGTGCTGCTGGCACCCCCTGAGCTGAACGCGCTTCCACTGCAGCAGGAGCAGCAGAAATACTGCAGCAAGAGTGAAAAGTCCGTGCTAGCAGACGAGGAGCGGTTACCTGGTAGAAGAAGACGATGATACCGGCTGCTGCGTAGGGGATGCCGATAGTCAAGAAGAAGTTCTGCAAAATTCGATAAATTTCGTGATTCTGAAACATCAAGGCAAAGGGATGGTACCTTGGCTATGCCACAAACAGAGTCAACGCCCTGGCAGGCCACGTTGATGTCGCACTGCATAGCAACAAGTTGTTAGTTGAACGATCAATTGTCAGACTCTCAGTGGTTACTGACATTGAGCCCGCTGATCTTAATATCTGAGGAGGTTGTGCAGACTGAAAACAACACGATCAGAACTGACAGCGGGACAAGAGCTGGGACAGAGCGAACCGGAATTACGAAATTCTTTGCAAATATCCTCGATGAGAATCCTCGCAATGATCAAGAGAACACCGAAGGCAAGGTAAGGCAGCCAGAGCAAGATGCTGAAGACAGACACACAAACGATGAGACTTGGCAGCAACTTCAGGCCTGTCAGGAATATCAGCGACCGAGGGAGCAAGATGGAACTATATTCCAGTGAAAATAGGGTATCGAATGGTTGGGTAGAGAGAATACAGCGGAGAGTGGAGTGGAGAGGAGAAGAGAGGGAAGTCAGAGCAAGGATGGAGGACAATAGCTGAGATGGACCTGCCAAGAGCGCAGGAACGGCGATAAATACAATCACGATTCCCCCACCAGCACACCCAATAAGGAGCACTACCATCTTGACAGATTCCTCCACATCGGCAGCCTTGGGATCTTTCTGGATCTCATATTTGCACTGGGAGTACAAGTATCCATGATCTGTGTACTTGGCCTTGTAGATTGGAGTGTTTGAAGACACTACGATGCTCTTGATCTGCGCCTCCGAGCTGAAGAGAAATGTCAGGAACAAGGTTAATGCGGCAGGAGAACGCTCGTTACCATGCCTTCCACGTAGTCTCGGCAGCAGTCATATAGACAGGGTAAGGTCCAGAGCACGTTTTCTCTACCTGAGAGACATCCAAGTTGGCAGGCACAATCGGGCTCGCGTTTGAATCAGGACACAGATCCTTGCATGTGGCAGTCCTGCAGGTCGCGTTCACCTTCATATGTTGTCAAGCTAGAAGCGAAGGAAAACGGTCTCCCCTACCACGACGTCGTCGCAGTACGGCAACACATAACTGGCCTTGGCATCTGAGCAGCTGTACATGAATTCAACACTTTTGTAGCAAGCAGTGTTCATCGTTCGTGTCCAGATCTTGGAATGGTAGATACCATATCCGATCAGCACGCCGCCTGCTCCCATCAGCAGGATGCTAAAGACAACGGCAGAGATCCTGCAGCATGGGCTGTCCTGCGATCTCTTACTTGCTTGGGGAGCAAGGACCTCGCTGGGCTCGAGCACTTGCGCCTCGGGCATGGTGGACAGTTCTACTTGCACGTCCTGGGGCGTCTCTTCTCCTTCCTGACGTTGCTCTGTGTCCATTCTTACTCACCCAAAGAACCTACAACGTGCAAGTCACAAAGATCAGCACTGATCACATTCACGTCTCCCGTATCCTCTTCTTCTCAGTGGGTACAGACAGGATTGGTACCCTCTGTATGCCTCGTCGGGACACTGGCCACATACAGGATACTGCCGCTGGTGTCCTTCCTCTTCATGACACTCATCTTTCCTCGAGCTCTGAGCCTCTCAAAGAAACCTCATTTGCTAGCCCTCCCAATGCCATCTCCATTACTTTGAGAAAACAACCCACCAATGCTTTTTCACAACGCCGCACCCTGACATCGCAGCAACACTATCTCTTGCCCACTCCCCATCATCCCTGCATCTTCTCTCCTGTCGCAGCCTGTCATACTCAGACTCTTCATCGTTTCTAAGACGCCTGCCCCCTCCCATTCCCTTCGCTTCAAAGAGGCTCGTCGACATCCTCGGCTCCGAGTTTGCATGTCTCGCTACCACCCCCGCTCTGATGCATGCACTTTGTGGCTGGACCCCTAGTTAGTCAATTATGAACGCAAAGACCCCACCCATGCTACTAGATCACCCGTACAACTACCATCAATAATATAGAATTAGTACGGGTACTTTGATCACCTACCCGTACGTACGCTTTCGGTTCGGAAGTGTACCCTATGTTTGCAGGCCTATTGGACCCCTACCCCCTGTACTAGTGAATATCTGCCCCTTCGTAATACTAATAAATTGTGTACAAAAAATGTCATCCACCACCACCGGTCATACCTCCCACCCCTTGAACAATGACCACACCCACGCTCTTACCACCATTCACCCCTGATTTTGTAGACATCTGTGCACCATTAAGTGACAGGTACCCCTGGCACTGCAACACTGAATAGGGTAGGCATGCAGTGGGTAGTTGACAAGGGACCGTTGCATGCACAGGCTTTCGGGAGTCACTGCTTACATCACTGAAGCTGCTAGTCGGGCCGCCGCCGCCGCCGGGCGCCGGGCGGGCGGGCCCCGCGGCAGGATACTTGAAGGTTGGTTGTTGGTGTCTTTTCTCTTCAAGGCTCGCCCGGCCGTCTGGCCTGTGCGACAGCCTGAGTGTCAGGGTCAAGCCTCCTCGACTCTCCTGATCGGATTGTCCTCGTAGTGATCTTTGACTTTGAGTAAAAAAGTGTGTACTGCCTTCAAACTTTGAGTAAAAGAGTGTGTACTGATTTTAACTTAACTTGGAGTTAAAGGGTATGAGTGGGGCTGAGGGTAAACTGGAGGAGTTTTTTTTAACTTAACTTTGAGTAAAGAGGGAAGGGTCATGGCAGGCGAGCCAGCGGGGGGGGGCGGCGGCGGCGGCGGAGCAGGAGGAGGAGGAGAAGGCAGAGGGGATGGGATGACAGGGAGGAATGGTGGAGAGCGGGACCCTCTGCTCCAACATGGGAGGGAAGCCTCGGCTAGCAAAGAGGAGGAGTCCTTCACCTACGACGTGTTCCTGCTGTGTATTATCACAGCGCTCCTTTTCGCCGACCAGAACTTAATGGCGCCGAATCTGACTCAGATAGCGAGAGATTTTGGATTCTCAGATGAAGAAAGGGACACGAAACTTGGAGGAGAGATTGCCCTGGGGTTCTTCGTGCTCGGGGGTCCCGTAGCGCTGGCCATTGGCTACCTTGCTGATATGATGCCGAGGAAGATGCTGTTCGTGACTGTCGTGTTTCTGGGCGAGATTCCGTAAGTTCTTGTTTGAACTCTATCTACTTGCACGTGTGGCACATTCATCAGCTCAGCAAGAAGCTTGTCTACTTTCCTTGTCTTCCTGACATTTCTACAGGTGTTTGCTCACGATCTTCGTGACGGAGTACTGGCAGCTGTTCATCCTCCGAGCGATGACAGGCATCGCGATAGGAGGTGCCCCTCCTCTCATCTTTAGCCTCCTCGGCGACATGTACGGCATTAAGAGCAGAACTCATCTGTCAGCATCGATCATGGCAGTAGCGGCAGTCGGAGTTTCTTTGGGCCAGCTTGTTAGTGGGCTTGTGGGCCCGACGTACGGCTGGAGGACGCCGTTCCTGATCATCGCTGTCCCTGCTATCCTGCTGAACTTTCTCTTCTGGTTCACATTTGTTGAGCCGAGGAGAGGGTACGCAGACCTGAAGCAGATGGGCCCTTCCAGCGAGATCACCGAGTACGAGGAGAGGATCTCATGGGGCAAGGCGATCGGGATCTTTACGGTCCCTACCAACATCATCATCTTCTTACAGGGAATCCCAGGCTGTTTGCCGTGGGCAGTGACCATCACGTTTCTCAACGACTACCTGGCACAGGAGAAGAAGATGACTGTCGAGCACAGCACTATCGTCGTGACCTGCTACAACCTTGGGATCCTTGGAGGGGTCATCTTCGGCGGGGTCGTTGGCCAGCTCATCTACAACATCAAGACTTCCTTCATCGCCATCCTGATGGGAGTGACCACTTTCCTAGGGATCTTTCCTCTCCTCTGGCTCATCTATCTTCCTGTACCCACACCACCATTGCTGGAGATCATTGCCGTCGCTCTTATTGGCGGCCTGTTCACTGGCGTGACAGGTGTTTCACATTCTCAGTCGGTGCCCCGGTAGTGACTAGACTTGTACAGGGCCTTGCATACGAGCTGTGCTGCTGAATGTGAACATGCCGGAGACGCGAGGGTCAGCTCAGGCGCTCCTCACGCTGACAGACGACCTTGGGAAAGGGTTGGGCCCTCTCTTCATGGCGGTGAGGAAGCGAGGTGTGAAGGACTTGAGGCGTCGTTGATGGGCGTGCAGTTGTTGATCATCGGGCTTCACGGCAGGCTGGTGGCCATGTCCATCGCTGTGTTCTTTGGGTTCGGTCCCCTTGCTGTTGGGATCTATGTTGCTGATAGAGTTTCGTTTACCAACAGATGGCTGCTGTGCAGTATCTTGCTCTGCACCCTCTTCTTCACCATCGAGGCAGACCAGGTGAAATGAAAACCTCCTGGCGAAAGGTACTGATTGCTCCTGCGATGCACACAGGCTAATGCCCTCCATCGGCTCGAGGTGTCTTTTCTCTGCTATTCCTCTAATGCTTTTCTGACTCTTGTTTCCGATGCAGTCCGGCAAGGGCGCACGGAAGCTTTGTTTGCCATGATCTTGAAGTTATATCTAGACACAGATATTATACTTGCCCCGATGACGTTCTTCTTCCGTGCCCAGCACTTACAAGATGGTTCCACAATGTTAGTTTGACAATTTCTATGAACTCTATGAACTCAGTACTCTTTTTCAATCATCATCTCTTATCATTCAAGTAATTGGGTTTTGCACGAATGCAAAGCTTGTTCACTTCAAGCGAAGTCTTCTGACCCCGAGACGCGCGACATTGAAGCTGAAAGCGACATCCGGAGGGATTGAGTCGGAGCCGGTCTGAAATCGTTGTACGAATAGTACGTGGGTTTCAGGTAGGACGCGCTTGAGGAGCTGTAATACAAGCTTGAGCTCGAGCTCTGTCAAAATGTCACTGGAATCACAACGCTCTGACTCGCTGACCGTGACTTCCGGGAGTTTGGGAGGTGAAACTTGGAACGCGTGGATGTGCGCAGGATCCAAGGCCATGCTGGAGAAGAAGGAAGAATGAACCATGTCAAGAGATGGGATGATGTCGTTGAGCTGCTGGATCTGAATCTCCTGAGCCTGAAAGAGCATGAGAACAATCATCTCCACACATGCCGTCGACCTTGATTGCTTCCTTGATCGCCACGTGACCCTGATGCAGCCGTTGCCTCAAGAACACATGATGATCGGACTCCATGTCTGTACTCTCTTGCACCAGGGACGATAGCTTGTCATTGGCATCTCTCAGCCTGTGCTCGATCTCCATCACCGCGTTCCTCTCATCTTGGAACTCCTGTCATAAGGAAGAGTAAGCCGGGAGTGTTTCAGTGTCGCAACGTTGCCTTTTCCAGTTGTCTTTTCTTGTTGTCCAGAGCATTGAGCTCTACCACACTTCTTTGATGCAGATCATCGAAGATGGCACTTCTTTCAACATCTTGCTTTTGAAGCCTCTCATTTTCTCGCTGCGCTGAACATCAAAAGCTTTGAATCCATGAAGTCGTTTGCTACCTTCATGCGATTGTAGTGTTCAATGATCTCGTCCCTAGTGCTCTCAGCCTCCCTTGATCGTTCTCTGCTCCGTTCCAACATCGTTTCAAACCTCGCCATATCCTCTCGTCTGGCATTCAGTTCTGCTTCCAGGTTTGCAGTTCGTGCATCATGTTGAAAATTCTCCAGCTGCAAACGAGAGTCAGCACATTGTCGCACATCAAGAACCATTCATGCAACCTTTGAGGAAAGCATCTCGATCTCCTGTCGAAGGTAGGATATCTCTCTCTCGTACTTGGAGAAGTCAACTTGAACCCTCTTCTTCGGCGGGGGACTGCAACATCGCAAGGAGTCAGTTGCAGAACTCAACACCAACCATACGACACCTGTGTGGATTTCCACGGAGCAACTCGACCTCGTAGATGTAATCAGACTCTACCTGTCTGTCCCCTTCATAAGCTCCTTTTCTGCGGAAACCAAGGAGAACTTTGGTTCCAGGTTGGCCTGAATTATCCAGTCAGACTGAGCAAGGGCTGCCATTGAAGGAGCAACCCAGAACTCTCTCTCGAACGTCTTCGAGAGGTGTCTCAAAGTCAACCATGAAGTCATCGACCCGAAGGAGCTGTGACAGGCATTCACAACTCCCATTCGAGCAAGCAAGCATGCATGCGCTCTACCTCATCATAGATTGCAATCCGTCCATCCAGCGCTGATGAGCTGTGGGAAGGCAACGGATCAACCGAGCATCGCACGACAGCTTCCTCACCTGTTGGGCAGCAGGTTTGCGACATAGATCCAACCACTGGATTCTTGTTGAAAGAAGATCCCTGATTACATCGGCAACCGCATTTAAGGACACAAGACAAGAACATGAAGTAATGATCACCTACGCCCGACCGCTTCTGACCAGTTCTGGCATCCACTACGTTGAGATCTTTGTCCAGAGGCTCACCCACAGTTTGCAATCGAGCATACTGATTGGTAGTAACAGTCAGTTAGTGAAACCGTCCCACCCAACGTCCCTCCTGTGCAGTACATTCACTCCACCTGTCCATCATGCGTGATCGTAATCGGTCCTGACGCGTTCCCCAAAGGAGACTTGGACCTCCTGAGGGCCGGAGATAGACTTCTCTGTAGGATCTAGTCAGAGAATCCCCCCTCCCTCCCTCCCTCCCTCCCTCCCTCCCTTACCACACGAGGAGATTGTGATCTCTCTTTCTTCCTGCCCGGCGAGGGTGCTGAGGCTCTGCCAGGCCTTGCAGGAGATGGGGATACGGGCCTATGGCTGAAAGGGACGGTGACAGTGGTAGGAAACAGCACAGGACTCGAGTGCTGGGGCGGGAGAACAGGAGGAGGAAGCACGGCTCCCTCGAAGGGGACCATCTGAGGGGAGAGACGGTAGCCGGAGGGCGACAGGTGCGCGGAGTCGACGGGAAGCATGTAAGGAGGCGAAGCCATACCGCGGCTGAACAAGTCAGGCCAATCCCCTAGTGTCCCTATTTCGAAGGGGTGGGGTAGTGAAAGTTTGAGTCATCCTCCCAGGAGGGACGCCGGGTGGGATTTATGAGACCACGGGTCCATTGCCCTATCCAAATAGGGGTGATCATTTTCAAGGGCCGCGGCCAGTACCGGTACCCGGAGGGGTGGGGTAGTCATTCCGGGAAGGGAGCCGGCAGGATCGAAAGCAGGTGGTCTCTTGAAACTGCCGCCAGGCCAGCAGGATGAGAAGGGTGGGGTACTTCAGCAGTCAGATGGAGGGGTGAAGATTGACTTCAGACCGGACTGATCGGATTTTCAATGACTCGGGCGGCGCCGGGCCGACACAACGGAACGTAACTGAATTGTAACGGTGAATGGACGACGAAGAGACACGGCGAGGTGACAGGCATCATGGCTAAGAACATGCACCAGAGGTAAGAGATGCGATGGAGGAGAGGAAGCGATGGAAGCGGAGGGGGAGGAGGCGGAAGAGGGAGCAGAGAGAGGAGAGGAGGAGAGGGAGCAGAGGGAGGAGGGGGAGGACGAGACGGGACGGGACAGGACGGTAGGAAATGTACAAGGAGGGGGAGGAGGTGAATAAGTCAAGAGCAGAAGCAAGAGTGTAGTATGAATCAGTGAGGGAAGAGGGGAAGTCGAACGGGTTGGGATATGAATCAAAGAAATTCCTATGGTCCATTGCATCGCAACCTTGTATGATGTAGGGGAAGCAGTTGATGTATTCCTATTTGCACTCGGGGGTGTTTATTTGTCACTAGAGACATCAGAATAGTGGGCGCAGATTGAGATGGAAAACAATGAATTGGAAGATTAAAAGTTAGAGTATTGGACATGATGCGATAGACATGATGAGATAGGCACACGATGTTGAAGATCGAGTTGTTTCGCGTGATGGGAGATGTTCCATTGCAAGATGGGCTCCAAAGAGCTGCTATGATCAGCAATTGATATGTCAACCATACTTATTCGTCGTGACAGACTTGCCGGGCCTGCATTGATTGTCGCCCTTGGCCTTTGCGTGGTGGTTGGGATCTTGGTCACCTTTGGACCTACTGCGGCTCCTTCGGAGCTCCTTTCCCAAGCGCGTCACAACCACAAGATGCACAGGATGCACAAGAACGGACTTGGTCTCAAGCACAATGACTTGGCTTTGTTGGAGGACGCCATGCACCAGCAGGCGAAGGAAAAGCATCGCGCTTGCATCAAGGAGTGCGAGGATTCTGCTTGCAGGCACAAGTGCCACACTGCTCTCTCCCTCCACGCCGCCTCTGCGCACCACAACGTGACGGTTGTTGAGGTCGTGCCTGATGACTGACATGCCGCAACAGCACAAGTCTGCCAGCCTCCACTTGAAGAAGGCAGACCTCAAGCTCCTCCAGGATGCGCAGCAGGCCAGGCACGAGGATGAAGTGAAGCACTGCGAGAAGTGCATCACCAGCGAGTGCAAGGCCAGCTGCAAGCAGACTCTCCGCAGCCTCAAGGCCCAACCCCATGCTGCCAAGCATCAGGTCAATCTGGGACTCAAGGCTGACGACATGGCGCTGTTGAAGGTCCGGCTTGCGAATCCTGACGGGATGTACTCACTGTTGCATTAGGATGCGCAGAAGAGGCAGGCCAAGGAAGAAGCCAAGCACATGTACATGCAGGTGCGATCTTACAAAGTTTTGGAGATGAATTGGATGCTCCTGATCTGCTTGGAATTCACATGAGGTGGCAGAACTCCGACCGCAAGGCGCTCAAGTCCAAGAGAAGCTCATTGAACGCTATCGACGAGGTCAACCATCAGGTAACTCTACTGCTCGAGTGATGAGTCCTGAATGCTCAAAGCCTGGGGATGATGGCAACGGCGATTGGGCGCCGGGCATGAGAAGCTCTGCCATGCAGGTGAGGGACTATAGAAAACAACTTTTGCGTCGTGGTGAAGTGTCTGTCGCAGCAACTCAAGCAGGAGCAGAGGGATGCAGCCAAGGTTAATGCATTTTCCCGCTCGTCTCGACGCTGACTTGATGCCAGACTGCCAAGTTTGCCTATGACACGGACAACGACGACTCTTGGTCCAACTAAACAGCCGTTGAGAGACGAGAGAAAGTCTGGGTAGAGTCATTCGAAACTAAGAATGTCATGTGGAACTAGCAGATCTTTTCGATTTCATCATCTTATTTCACTGCATGCTTGCAACGCCTCCCTCTACGTCTTCCCGATGTAGTCAGGCTCTCATAAAGTTGAAGAGACGGCGATGACCATCAACCATGATGCCATTCATCCTGCAATGAAAGCTGTGTGCAAGTAGCCGCATGCCACAGACTTGACGCTGCTGAGAGATTCAACGATGGTTGGCTCGACCTAAAGCAGGAATTCAATGAACATGGTCACGGTATAAATGAGAGGTTCTACCAGCCAGGAGGACGTGGTTGGATGTCCCAAAACGTGGTTGGTCCCGACGAACGCAAAGCCCTCCATCATAACCTTGTTCCTGCCCCAAGTATAGACCTTGCCTTCTTCGGTGATTGCTGCGGAGTAGCTGTTCCCAGCAAAAACTTGCTGTTTAGAAGCAGCATGAGCAAGCGAGTGCGAAGGGAGGAGGAAGACCTTCACACGGTGGGAGGGATCAGCTGGTGCAGAGAGCAGATTCAAACGGTGAGGCGTGTGGTAGCTGAATCCAGCAGCACCCCAAACATAGACAACTGCGTCTTCTGTGACAGCGACACAATGCTGATGACCGAGGTGAATAAAAGCAGAAGGAGAGAATGTTTCAACTCTACAACCTGATGTCCGCATCCAATGTGCAGCACTGAAGAGCCTTTGAAGCATTCATCTCTATCCAAGCTTGTAGGGCTGCACTCAACAGGAATCAATGTGAGGAAACGAAAAAGGAGAGATTGCGCATACGAAGATTCTTGAGCAAAGACGCTCATTCCCTCTAATCCCAACTCACCAACCTGAACATGTAAGCATCATTGACTTCCTCCTGAACCATTGGAACAAAACCTTATTCTTTCCCCAAGTGTACAAGGTTCCATCCAACCCAATAGCTGCTGTGAAATTTTCGCCGCATTCTATCCATTTCATCTTCTGCTAATAAAAGTCTTATGTCTTGCACAGTCTGAGCTGCCATGGTCTCACTGGAGATTCAGAGATCGGCTCCGGTTGCAAGAAATCTGTGTTGTTGCCGTGTCCGAGCCTGCCTTGCTCACCCTAATGGCATGTCACAGTAAGCCTTACGAAAGTGCAGCAAAGTCGCATACATGACCCCAGGTGAACATGGTTCCATCTTGACTGAGCGCTACACTGTGCTTAGCTCCACAGGAAATGTTGGTGATTTTTTCGCCGTTCAAACGCTGCACTCTTGTCATCCACCCTTACGACTGCCTGCCTCTTATCTTTTACTTCGATTCGTTTCGGCACTGGCAGGGAAGCTTTGTCTCCATGGCCCAGTGCACCAACTCCCGCACCGGGGGTACCTGATCCACCCCATCCCCAGGAGTAGACCTGTACAACGTGTCAGGCCAAGTTGCACTCACTTATTGAGATTCCACCCACCTCGCCGATGTCAGAGAGGGCAAGGACGTGATATTGTCCTGTATGATTGTCAATTGTTAAAGTCAACAAAATCTTTAGCGATCACCTGCAGCAATCTTGACGATCTTGATCCCATCGAGCCCATGCACAATGGTTGGTTCTGAGAACGCCGCGGAAACACAATGATTTCAGAGGCCGGGAGCAGATTAATGAGACTCGTCGATCCTACCATATGAAGACGACCCAGCATTAGGATTACCGAGTTCTCCATTCTTGTTGTCGCCCATTGAGTAGACTTTTCCTGGATGTATCAAGTCATTGCTGGCCGAGTTTGTTGCAGTGCCAGGTTGCACCCGATTCTGTGACGAACACTGTGAACTTCTTGCCGCAGGAGACATCAATCACAGGTTCTGGTATCGGGATTTCTGTTGGTTGCTTAACATTGTGTCAAAATGACATACTTATGAGTGGCTCTTTTCATGTACTCACCTTGGCCTTGACCACGTCCTTTCCCAGTCCCAACGCACCGGAATTGGACCAGCCAGACACAAACAGCTTCCCGGCTTTGTTCTGCATGCTAGAAAACTGACGGATTCCAGCTGCTGATATACCACCACGCACAAAGTGCGGGGTAGGAAGACGACGTTGCATACATGAGGCGCGTGCCGCCTTCACCCTGCAAACCACAAATGGGATTTGCACATTCGTAGCGTTGGAATGCTGGAGGATGAAGGAGTTTGGTACGGAGGGGGGGTGTCCATGAGAGACCGAGCTGTAGTTGCACGTGTTGTTGTGATGGGTAGGAGGAGAGGGAGCGGCGCATATCGCCATCTTCCTTCGCCCGAACGCTCGCCATGCCAGCTGCATTGTCGAGGGTCGCAATATACGACCGACACCTTCATCACCCTCATACCCAGTGAACTCGCCGAGTCGGACTGACCGTCTGACGGCCCGGGAGCACTGACGGAGCACTGACGGAGTCCGATCGCTGAGACGGCCGGCCGGGCCCGCCAGGTCCCGGCGCGCCGTCAGTGACGCGAAGCTTTTACTCAAATTTAAGCTAAAAATTAACCGTACTCAAAAAATAGCTTTTACACAAAATTGACGGAAGTAACGGCGGGCTAAATGAAACTTTGAAGCTTCGCCTTACGGGCCGGCCCGGCCGGCCCGGCGGCGGCCGCGTGTCGCAGTAGTACCTACTTAAAACATTGAGTGTACTAGTTTTAACTTAACTTTGAATGTACTAGTTTTAACTTAACTTTGAATGTACTAGTTTTAACTTAACTTTGAGTGTACTAAGGACAATGAGGCAGGTCGTACGCCGGTCGGAACTGGCCTTTTACTCAACTCGCAATATTTGATATTAAAATGTAGGCGCATGAAGCTGACAGGAGATGAAGTTCATATGACATGTTTTCAATTCAGATCTCACAAACGCGATGCAACCCTTTGGTTAGTAGGGTTTATTAATCAACATGCACTGCAAGCAGTCAACCGATACTACCTAGATGCTCACATTGTTCTTAAGAAAATACTTCTGCGCATGAGATCTGACTTGCAACTCTGTTCTTGTCCCGACCATGCAGGCGATTGCCTGTGCTATTCCTGGGCCAAGCCCGACAAACACTCTTCCATCCGCTCCTCGGGATAGCCCGGCATAAGGACAGTAAAGGTTCAGACCCTCCAAGAAACGCTCATGCTCGTCCTTGCTCCAACGCTTCTGCGTAGTCCCCTGAATCTTGGGTTGACGCTTTTTGCCGACCTTGCTTGGCTTGTTCGCAAATTTCTTCTCAGGCATTGACACGACAGAACTAACTTCATCGCTGTCATCGCTTCCTCGCTCTGAAGCCGGATGCGAGGCATCCTTTTCGTTCAGCTGTTCACCTTCACACCAGAGAAGGTGATCAAGCCCGCATTCTTGCTCGCACGAGAAGTAATGGTCCACGAGAGCTTTTGCTATTTGTGCGTCCTCGAAGGCAGGGTGAACGTCATGGGGAAAGAGAGAAGCGATGGCATCATCGACGAGCATTTGCGCTGGTCACAAGAGCAGGATCTATTGACGACGAAAGGTATGACGTGCTGAGAAACTGCAGCAGGAGAAGATGAACAGGTGGGAGGAGTGGGAGGAGTAGGAGGAGCAGGAGGAGCGGGAGGAACCGGAGAACGAGGAGAAGACTGCAGAGGTGAGGAGGGGAGGGAGGTGTCGGTAATAAATAGGGGAAACCGGGGAACAACGGAACTCAAGCGATGCGAAGAGATGCACCGCCAAAATCAGTATGTTTGGCGAACTTTTCTTAGCCGTATCCGATGCGAAGAAGTATGTTTTCAATACTAGTCAGTCATCAAATCACGTTACCATGCCGTTTTCTGCCGAGGCCGATGCGAAAAAGACTATTTTCACTACTAGTCAATCATCAATCACGCCGCCAGATTTACACCATGGCATGATGTCAATAGCTCCGAAACTCCGGCCGAGTCATCTTGCTAGTAAAGCCATCGGCAGACCTATTGATTTCAAGTGTTGATACACTTATTTGAAAGTTAAGTTAAAATTAGTATGAGGATAATCAGATACTACCAAAAATATCAAAGCTGCTGAAAGATGGACCTCGTGATATGAAAGTGACCAGATCCGTTGATTTTTTTTAGGAGCCTTACGTCCAGTCTGCCTCAGAAGAAGTACCTATTGGGATTCAAGGGCAGCAAAATTCGCTTAGCAAAGCCATATCATGGGGCGGGCCTGCGATCAGTTGGGGGCGCATGCTGGCTGCCCGCGAATAGAACCCTCTGAAGTGTGGTGCGCATGGCGAGCAGGGACGTCATGAACCTCATGCTCATGCTCACTGCCGGCTTGCCCTCCATCATCTCCGTCTACCTTGTCCCGCACTCACTGTGCTCTCCTGCTCCTGCTGAGGGCTGGCTGAAGGACGCATGCGAGCTGGCCTTGGGGAGCCCGATCGTCTTCGTCAACGTCCTCTTCTTCGTCAACGTCTCAGTTGGCTTCTGGATCATCGGGCTGGTGCAAGGGAATTTCTGGCTGATCGACCCTTACTGGACCTTCATACCTCCCCTCATTGGCCACTTCTACCTCAGCCATCCCCTCGCGGTCCATCCTTCCACTGCTAGGGGGATGGTGGCCATGGCGCTTGTTTGGATATGGAGCATCCGGCTCACTCACAACTATGTGAAATCATTTTCCTCTCCTTGTTTAGAAAGTGACGCCCCGCCCCAGTTCCGAAGAGAAGGATGGAGGTGTGGGGCGAGGGAAGACTGGCGATATACCAAGATGGCTAAGGAGCATCCTTCAGCATGGTGGGCTGTGCCATGCAGATGTAGCAACAGCACCTGACATGTTCTTTCAGGTGGATCTTAAGCTTCTTTGCCGTGGGTCTGGCTCAGCAGCCGATGCTAGTTGGTAGCGCAGGCATGTCAGCTTCCTTGGCATGACACGGGAGTTTGTAGGAATTTCGCTCCCTCTTTACTCCACTGCGTTCTCAAACAAGGTGTAGCACAGCGGTTTGAGCGATGATGGGCTGCTGACCACTCCGTTCTTTCTGTGTTGAATCGCCTCCTCCATCCCTGGACCTTGAAGCAATGGAATCTGATAGATTCTATCGCCACCATGTTGTGTTTGAAAGGGATTCTGATTGCATTCGTTGCCGACAATCAGTTGTACAGGTCTACATGTCGGAGATTATTTCTTCTGTCCCCTCAAATGATTTGATAGATATATGAAATCCAACGAAGATCGAGAAGCGAAGGGACAGAAGAAGGTTGTGAGAGAAGAGGAGAGGCGAGGAGAGGAGAGGAGACTAACGGGAGGAGAGAGGAGGAGAGGAGACAAGGTTGATCTTTGCTGATCCTGGTGAGCAGCAGGAGCTGCTTGATGCGGGGTTGTGGGGTTTGAGTCGACATCCCAACTACTTCGGAGAGATCATGTGGTGGACGTCTTTTGCTCTGTTCTCAGTCAAGTGAGCATCAAGACTTACTATCCTCTCTCGATGAGCTGACATTGCCTCGTTTCTTCTGCTCTCGTTTCCCTCCCTTTGCCTCCCAGTGTTGGTGAGTGGCAAATGGTCGGAGGAACGGTTTTCAACACGTTGGTTCTTGTCTATGTGTCGATGATGACGGAAGAAAGAATGCTGAAAGGTCTTTTTGGCATGCTGTTGATGAATGCGAAGTAGGGTGATGTGCATTGCAGGATGGACTGAAGAGAGGGCAAAGCGATACCGAAGGTACATCTCAGAGACGCCATGCATAATTCCCAACATCTTCAAACTTTGGTCGAAGCCCAAGAAGTGATGTTTCCTGTCTCTTCGTGTACATGGTGTATTGATGATGTGACAAATATGTCGAGTGTGTCTTTTCTGTGAAAGTTATCCAATCCAAACTTGCATCGCGCGTGAGTTTCTCGTTTCGTCGTTCATTACTTTGAATCACGAAGAAATTCACGAACTTGAGCGACAAAGAACTTCTCTGCCGAAGCACTCTCGGGATCCTCCTGCTCGAAAATCACATGTAGGTTGTAAGCGAGCGAGCGAGCGAGCGAGCGAGCGAGAAAGAGAGTGAGTGAGTGAGTGAGTGAGTGAGAGTGAGGGAGAGGGAGGGAGGGAGGGAGAGGGAGAGAGAGAGGGAGGGAGAGGGAGAGAGATGGAGAGGATGGGCAAAGATCGTTGAGAGAGAGGGCATCTCACAGGCAGCGGCGAGAGAGCATGGTTAGCGTTGGGGACGACGAGAGGGACGACCCTGCAGTCTCTCATTATCACATAGGAGACGACAATAAAGAACAAGCACCTTGCCTTCCCCCCCTCTCCTCTCATCGCCCTGGCGATTCTCTCCACGAGCTCCTGCCGCCGATCATTCACTATGAGAGCCCAGCAACGACATGGCTGACCTGCTTGTTCACCGTAGAAGGAACGTACTCATCCTTAGAAGAGTATGCTATCATGACGTCGGTGGTGCTGTAGAACCCCCCGAACCTCCTCGCGAGCTCGTCCTCGCTGAGATCCGAGGAGAAGTAGTCGTCCTTTCCTCCCACATCGTTGAGATCCAAGAACCTCTGTGCTGTGACTGGAGCCCAGCACGCGGATCGGGGCAGGAACTCGTCTCCTCCACCTGACTGCCTGGCAAGCTGCCTCGCCGCCTGTAAGTTCTCCTGCTGCTTCGCCAGAGCGTCCGCGTCCTCAAGCTCGCGGTCGCTGACACCGGCCTGGAGGATGATGTGCGAGATGTTGTGCTGTGGGAGGTTCTCCCTGCTGCGCATGTAGTGGCAGGCGATCTGACAGCCGGTGGAGTGACCGCAGATCGCAAACTTCTTCCCCTCCCTCTCCCTTGCAAGGAAATCGAGCAGGGCAGACAAGTCCTCGACGTCTCTCTCCAGCGAGCCGAACCCCCACATGTTGTACGATGATCGCAGGATAGGCTGCACCATGGACCATCCCTCTTCGCTCGCTGCCTGCCCGAGCGACGGGACGTACCAGCATGGTAGCAAGCCGTCGGAGAGCCCTCCTATCATGATGAGCTTCTTCTCTGCATCGCCGGGCCCACTCTCGAAGGCCTGCAGCTGAGGAGCGTACTGGAACAGCGATCCCCTCATGCCGTCCTGCCGGGGGTCGCGGGCCGACATCACCGTCCTTGTCCTGGAATGCAGAAAATGAGACGAGCGCTGCAAGACTTGAGACGCAAATCTCGACAACCCCGCCAGGCTGCGCGCCATGAAAGCTTCACAGGGAGGAACAGGGAGGGCGAGGAGGAGGAGGATCAGGAGGAGGAGAGGGGCGTCGGCAGGGATTATGCCTGGTTTGCCTAGCATCGATGCATCAACGGCTGGGGAAACGACCGTGTCAATTCAGAGGTCCTATCCCTCCTCCTCCCCTCTCCCTTCCTCCTCCCCCTCTCCCTTCCTCCTCTCTCTCTCTCGCTCCCCTCTGCCCGCTACCTCCCCCCTGCTTCTCTCCCCTCTGCCCCCCTCCCTTCCCCAGCCTCCATATCCCAATCCGACCCTGACCAACCCTACTGAACAATTGCCAGATCGTCAAAAATCTCCTCCCTACCTCCCGCTTCCCTCCTCCCCGCTCCCTCACTTACTTCCGCTATCTCCCCGCTGACCACCAGCCTGCCAGTCCTCTCTCCTCTCCCTCCATCTTCTCCTCTCTCACAACTTCCGCCCCCTCCACTCTGCAGCAGGGAGGGAGGAGACAGGAGCACGAGCTGGGCGAGAGGAGGAGAATGGGAGTGGATGTCGGGGAGGGTCTGAGAGAGAACTATGTCAAGCTCTCATGATGCACAGCCACAACTCCTGCTCCTGCTCCTGCTCCTGCTCCTGCTCTCCTTCCTCCATGTAGCCCGGACCTCCTCCGTCTCTGCTCGCTTCCTCCTAGCGATCCCCTCCGACTCTGAGACATGCCTAGTCCTGGTGCAGGTGCAGGTGAAACATGCTAGAGGCCTCGGGCACAGGATCATCCTCTACGTGGACGGGAAGGAAGAGGATGTGCAGGGCAGCGACTTGATCGCGAGCTCCCTTCTCATGCTCCGCGTCCCCTCGACCTCCCGGAGCAGGTCAGAGCTCCTCCTCGTTGTCATGAGCAGGGACGAGTACGTCGCCATGGCGTCAGCGTCACTGGCAGCAGCATGCAGACTGTTGGACCCAGCAGACGGAACTGACTTGCCTCCCATCCTCCTTGTGCACACAAAGGGCTCCAAGGGCGCGACCCTCAACTGCCAGCAAGTCAGCGAAATGGCGGGCAGCTCGAAGTTGACAATGTTGGTGTCGTCGCAAGCAGGTCAGGAGTGCATGTCTTGCCCGACCGTCTTCGGTCCTTTGCAGTGTGTTCACTTGTCGTATGCTCTGTTCGAGGTGCTCCTTCATCGCGCAGCCCTGGTCATCACGGACTCGGAGTGGGCAGTCAGGAAGGCACAGGAGAGGAGCGTTGCTGTGAGATGGTTGTCGGCAGACCCTGAGAGAAGCTCGGTTGAGCTGTCAGGGAGGGAGGAGAGCAGTGTAAGGGAGGGGAGCAGTGTAGGGGAGGAGAGCAGTGTAGGGGAGGAGAGGAGCTTAGGGGAGGGGAGGAGCGTAGGGGAGGGGAGGAGCGTAGGGGAGGGGAGGAGCGTAGGGGAGGGGAGGAGCGTACAGGAGCAAGCACGCTCCTTCACTATCGGAGTCATCCTGACAGTTTACAAGAGGAACAACCTGGAAGAGCAGTTTCAGTCGGTGTTTCGGCAGACCCTGAGGCCAGCTGAAGTCCACGTCTTCCAGAACGAAGACCATGTCGATGTGGACAGTGTAGTACACAGGGCACAGTCTGCTCGGCCAGACATCAACATCAGGCTGACCAAGTTGTCCATGAACACCAAGTTTCATGGCAGGTTTCACCTTGCAGGGCAGCTCTCTACTCACTTCGTCTCCGTCTGGGACGACGACATCGTTCCCGGTCGTGACTGGCTCAGAAGCTGCGTCGAGTACTCGCTCGATCACGGGCTGGCATTGGTGGGATGCAACAGCAGGAATATCGTACGTATCCTTCACAACCATGAATGGCACGCCAAGCAAGAGGAGGCAGAGCGGGGAGGTGCAGGGCCCGTCGACTTCGTGGGTCAGTGCTGGACTCTCTGGCGAGAACACCTACGGCACTTCCTGCATGCCCGGCCCTTCACATGGACGACAGGGGAGGACATTCAGTTGTCCTTTTCCTTGCAGAGGGCAGGCATCGAGTCACACCAGGGCCCCATCGAGGGGGAGGCGATTCCCGACGAGCGGAGGGGAGCGTACGCGGTAGATCAGTTCGCCTCTCACCTCGACAGGAAGGCGCAGGATGTGCGGCAGCTGCTATTCTGTCGGCTGCTGAGAGCAGGGTTTCATGCGAGGAAGTGCGAGAACTGCGATGAGGAGACCATAGCGGCGTGCGTGACACATTTTCAGACGATCATCCAAGTCGAGCAGTCTGTGACAACGACGCCACTGGAGTCAGACAGTGAAGAAGGGAGCAGAGAGAGGGGGAGGAGGAGGAGGAGGAGGAGGAGGAGGAGGAGGAGAGCGGTCTTCATGTTTGCAACCAGGATGGAACTGATCAAACTTTCGGCACTCGTCACCGTCTCGAAGGCTCGTCGAAGTTTCCGCACCGTGCTGGTCTTTGCTGGACAAGATCCCAGCGCTCTGACTGACGTGGAAGACTTCGATCTCACTGTAGATCATTCCCTCTTCGTTCCCCAGCAGAACTCCTCCTCTCCCACACTGGCACAGGTGGTGGAGGGAGTCGAGAGGCTGGTCGGCCTTACAGCCAGCGACGTCTTGCTCCTTGCTCCATCGCGACTGGGGTCAGCAGCAGCGGCGATCCTTGGAGTCAACAGCAGGTGTACGATCGTGCATGTCAACGCTGCGATGACCGGATGGGACGAGAAGCTCCTGCGACTTGAACGCGCTGCCACGTCATCATCTTGGTACTTTGCTACGTCCGACGAGGAGCACGAGTTGCTTGTTGGAGCAGGTGCTGCTCCTACTCGGGTTGTTACGGCAGGAAGTACGATCCTCGACGCGATCCGAAGGTCAGTCCCGTCGGTGCGACGGTCGAAGTTCTCCATGGCAAGTGTGTTCAAGGGCAAGAAAGTAGTTTTGTTGCACATTCAACGTCACGCGCGGGCCGTTGGACCCGCACTGTCGCAGCTTGAGTGTGAGGATTGTTTCTTCGTGTTGATGAAGGAAGCAGGTTATGATGAGGAACAGGAGGAGACGATCTCAAGGATGTGCGAAGCTCCCGACACAACACTGTATCTCAACCACAAACCATTCTCTGATATCTTGTCGATATCCAGGAGAAGCCATGTCATCATCGTTGACAACGAGGAATATGTTGAGGTGTACAGCCTGCTGGGAAGGCAAACGATTCTGTTGAGCGAGGCACATGAAAGCAATCCCAGTCGCCAAGGAAGTGTGCTGGTCAGGCCGTCCAACACAACTGCCCTCTTGCTTGCCGTCAGGGCTGCACTGGAGAACAATTCGAAAGGTGATGTGTTGGATCGACTGGTTCCAGCAAGGCAGGGAGCTGCGATTGAGGTGATTTATCAGACGATCGTAAGACAGGTCCCTCCATCACGGTCAGTTCATCGTCATCAGTTGGAGCCGACAGGATCCTATCACCTCGATCCACCCCTCTACTCTCATCCCTTCTCCGCTCTGAGCACGGCAGCTGGTTTGCTGCTTGATTTCCTCTCCAAGGAGAACGTGGAGACCCTGGTGGACTATGAGTGCCGGATGGATTCATCGCAGAGGCAGAGATCGGTCAAAACACCTTGTGTCGGTCATCGGATTCTCCAGCAACAAGGAGAGAAGCAAAGAGTGGAGTTTCGTTTCTGGCCCAGCCGCAGTGAAGACCTTGATACTGTACAGAACTCACTTGTCTTCTTGCCGAGTGTGGGCGAGAGTCGCCAAAATCTGCAGGATCTTGGTCTGAGGAGACTGCTCAACTCAACGAAAGGACGCCTCCTCTTGCTCACTTGCTCCCCATCAGTGCTTGATAGCAACGGGGCAGTCGATGGATCGCGATTGTTGGAGCAGCTGCCTCAGGAGTTTGTTCACGCTGGCAGCCACGAGCTCGACGACCATCTTCATCGCTGCTCTCTGTTCGAGCTCCAACGGCAGAAGGCCCTTGAGGGGAGAAGAGAGTTCTGCTGGAGGTTCGGTGACGACCTGTCCTTCAGCAGCAGCCTGATCGCCATGTTGCATGCATTCTGGTTGTCCGTGAACGCGGGAAGGACCCTTGTGATGCCTTCAAGTGCCAACCACAAGGAGTTCAGCTCCCGCTTGCAGGACTTGTTCAGTCTTGACTCGTCCTCGATCGAGGTCCTGTCAGACCATGCCTTCCAGCAAGTCTGCGGCGATCCCGAGATCTTGACTGTGCTGGACTTGCTGGCTGATCTGGGGGGCAGAGCTGTCACAGTCGATCCTGCCGACGCGCTTGACACGCGCGAGCCGCCGGTGGCAGCCATGACAAGGCTGTACCGCAGCCTGAAGTTCTCAGCGCGGGCCCTGCTGGAGGCTGAGGTTTTCATTGCCCAGCAGCTCGGCAGTCCCTTCATAGCTGTCCACATGACCAAACGGACGACAGACGAGTGTGTGGAAGAAGCAGGGGGGTGGAAGGAGCCAACCCAGCCCTCGTCATCTGCGCGTGCGGCCACTTGTGCGCACTCGTTGCCCGCCTCCATCAGGAAAGCTGAGCAACAGCTGGGCAGGGAGGGTGCGGAGATTTTCGTCAGCACCGGCGACGAGCACGAGGCTCTGGGGTCACTGGGGGCGTACAGGGAGAGGATGAAGTTCTACGACTCCGTCTGCGAAGGCTTCGAGTGCGTGCTGGCCGACATGCTCGTCTGTGCCAAGTCCGACGTCTTCATCGCAAACCGGCTCAGCCCCTTTGCGCTAAACGTCGCGAGATGGAGAGGAACGAGCGATGGGCCGAGAGCCGTTCGCTTCTCCGACGACGACGGCATCCTCGTTCCCCTCTGGGAAGGATACCCAGACCCAACTCCCCATGAGGACGAGGCAGCACAGGTCTGATCGCAGAATTATTAACTCACTGTGTCTGTAAGACATAGGACTCTCGTTGTCTTTTCCTATTAAGCTTTAACGTGACTACTATCGCGCTCTTACTTGCAATCGTCTTACTACCACGCCATGATGATAAGTTACTGCCATGCACCTTGACATCTCACCGTGCCATATGAGTTGAGCTTTTTAGTTCGGCTGGAGTCCGGGGCCGCCTTGAAGTCACGTCGACGGTCACTACCGCGCTTCTAGTCACTGAGTCGGGCGTCCCCTCGGCGAGGGCCTGAGCCTGACCGTACCGGGCCCCGCCCGGCCGGGACTCAGGATCCCGTTGTCCGACCCGGGGCCCGCCAGCGGCAGTGAGCCGGACTAAGCCGCCGCCGGGCCGGGCCGGGCCGGCGACGCGTGCCACTGTGGCGGGCCTCTGACTGGGGCGTGACTCCCACGGTCCGACGGGTGACGGTCCGTACATTGAAGCAGCGAGGAGACGCCGCTGACTCAGAAAGGTGAAGAGGAGGAGCGACTCAGGTCAGCTGGCTGTCTGGGCGTTGCCCCTTGGAAGGCAATCTAATTCCGCGCCTGCCAGTTGCCCCCTGGAATACCCCCCTTTCAACGATAACCCCCTCACACTCCGTTTGGACGGGGGGTTGTGGATGGGAGTTCTATTCTCGGGGAGCGCGGGGGGATGAGGTCAGCACAGGATACTTAAAAAGTGACTACGGCAAGGGGGGTACTCAGTACCCCACCCACAAAAGGCCTTTCTACACACACTGTGAACCCCTACCCCTTTTAGACGGATGACTTGTCTAGAAAGGAACGGGTCATTCCGGTATCTCCATCTTTCAGACCCCTCCTCATCGACACCCCACCCCCCAGAGATCGAATGGTCGCATCCACGTGTGTGGTGTGTTTAACTCGAACAAGGACATCGACTGACTACCCTACCCACTATCATAAGGCACCCCTTATCTTCAGCATAAAATACCCACCCTTTTGTAAATCAATTGACCACCCCCTTCCTTCAGACAAGCAAAAGATCCTTCAGGTCACCGTCACGTTTTACAATTGTTTTATAAACCTTTTTTGGGATCCGACCATTGGCGAAGGCAAATTGAAGCGGGGTGGGTAGTATGAAGTACGGGTACTAAAACGGGGAATAAAAGGGGTGTTGGGGGTAAAGTTGATTAATGCAAGGTAGGTGGGGTAGACGGTTTGTCGATATGTACGATTCGTGTACTGGCTGACCAAGAGACAGTGGGTGGGGTTATGAAGGGAATTGAGGGGGTATAATTTGGAGTCTGGAAGGGGTAGGGGTAATTCAGAAAGAGGGGTGATCTGGGGAAGGGTCATGGAGGGGCAGATACGATGTAAGTGGAAGACCAGTAGAGAGCAGGACGAAGCTGAAGATGAAGGAGGAAAGGAACAGGTGAGCCGATGATATGTTATGTTATGTTATGGTATGTCATGTTATGGTATGTTGATGTTGATGATAATGATATGATGTGATGATATGACGACAATGACTACAACGATAATGATGTGATGACGATGATATGGTGGTGATGATGAAAGCGGTGGTGGTAGTGGTGATGTTGATAAGAAGGAGAAGGCAGAAGGGGAAGGAAGAGGGAGGAGAGGAGAGATAATCTTGAAACGACAACCATGGGGTTTGGTGCATTTGAGGAATTTTTCGATACCATGTCACCATAATGTCTGTAAATAATGCGCTGACTGTCTTTGTTCAGGTTGATATCTGGTTCAATTGTCGTGTTTACGGGAATCTGCATTCTCGTCGTACTGGCATTGGTTGTGAATGACGGAAAAGAGGGGGAAACGGAACTATTTGCCAAACTACAAAGAATCCATGAAGTGCAGAAGACAAAACCTGAAGACATTGTATCATTACATTCAACCTGTATGCTTGCATGCAGATCAAACGAGTGCAAAGAAAAATGCAGACAGATGACAAAAAACGCGCTGCAGGTTCGAAGCTCTCACCTGATGTGCCTCCTGGAATGCAGTACACAAGGGCAATGCAAGAAAGGATGCGCAACCAAGACTAAAGCTCACATCACATGCCTCAAGCAGTGCGACGACGATACCTGCCGCCGCTCTTGCTCCACCGCCGCCATGCGAGCATCTCCCGCTACCTCCATGCTCGCCGACGCTGACCAGCTCCACCTTACCTGCCTCAGCCAGTGCGCAGACGGAGCATGCAGGAGCCACTGCAACCAGCAGAAGCAGCAGCACCTCTCATGCCTCAAGCAGTGCGACGACGATACCTGCCGCCGCTCTTGCTCCACCGCCGCCATGCGAGCATCTCCCGCTACCTCCATGCTCGCCGACGCTGACCAGCTCCACCTTACCTGCCTCAGCCAGTGCGCAGACGGAGCATGCAGGAGCCACTGCAACCAGCAGAAGCAGCAGCACCTCTCATGCCTCAAGCAGTGCGACGACGATACCTGCCGCCGCTCTTGCTCCACCGCCGCCATGCGAGCATCTCCCGCTACCTCCATGCTCGCCGACGCTGACCAGCTCCACCTTACCTGCCTCAGCCAGTGCGCAGACGGAGCATGCAGGAGCCACTGCAACCAGCAGAAGCAGCAGCACCTCTCATGCCTCAAGCAGTGCAATTTTGAAAGAAATTGCTCTTTTCGTTGCTCAGTCTGAAGTGTTTCAGTTTTGATTGTTTTGCTTCATTTTGATATGGTTGTCTGTATTTTACTCCTTTCTTAGAATGCATTCATTTCAATTGCAAATTTTGCCTCGTCTTGTCTGTGGTCAGTCTGCAATGGAATAGAACAGGTTGAGAAAGCTCTCGTAGCACTTGCCCAGGAGTTTCTCAAACTTTGCTTCATCCTCCATGTAGTCGTCGTGAGCATCATTCCTGGAGGGGACGACTACATAGAACACTAGCTCCTGTCAGCTTCTTCCCCCACAGACAGAATGTCTCCTCACCCTTGTGGCATTTCTGCTTGCTGTAGAGAGGCGAGCTGGCATGCAGCTTGACTGCGTACGCGTCGCCCAGCACGCCATGTCCGTGTCCGGCATACTGGGATGACGTGGCCTTTCCTAGGTAACCCGGGGAGTTGAGGGGACCGCTGGCATCGAAGACAACTCCAGCTCGACCTGCCATGTGCGTTATGCTGGGGGATGCACGAAGGTAGGGGGAGGGAGGAGGGAGGAGGGAGGAGGGAGGAGGGAGGAGGGAGGAGGGGGAGGGAGGAGGGAGGAGGGAGGAGGGGGAGGAGGAGGGAGGAGGGATGAGTTAGAGGGTAGGTTGAATATATGATCATCTCCAGATGATGGAGATGATCATAAAGAGGGCTAGACTGAGGTGATGGAAGAGGAAGGGGGATCGGGAGGGAGAGACTCGCACTTTACCTCTTGATGGACGTTTGCCTCGCACGAAGAGCTTGTCGGTTTCAACAGCAAGTGACTTGCAGGAAGCGTCGTGCTGACCGAGAGAGACGATGGCCTGGGGATCTGAGGAGACGATGACGATGAATCTTTCGTCGGAGATGATGCCTGAGGAGCAGGTGAGAAAAGAAGTCAAGGAGAAGAGTTGGAAAGGCGCCGAGGCAGTGGAGACGAATGAGAAAGTGCACGAGGGAAGGAGGGAGGGGTAGAGGAAAGGAGGAAGGAACGGAGCGGGGGATGGAGGGAGGGAGGGAGAAGAATGGAGGGAGGAACAATCGCGTTACACTCTTGCTGAAGTGCATCGATCAGGTTCTTGTCGTGGTCGCAGACGAGGTAGAGCTTGATCTTCTTGTCTCCTGCATGACTCTCGAGGAACCTCTTGATGGACTGCATCGCAACTCTGCCCGACGGCATCAGCAAGTCAGCAGAGGGGCATGGTGAGCGATCCGAGACGAGCAGCGACTGGAAGGAGGGGTAGTCACCTTGCGGCGAGGAGGGGTTCGCATTTCAGCAGAGGGCAGCAGCATAGGAGGGGGAAGGCAATCGATCTGCAAGAGGCCGCGCTGGTGTCAGAGAGAGATGCAAGGTCGTAGATGATGTTGAGGGGGAAGGTCTTCTTCTCAATCTTCTCCTCTTTGTCTTCGAGGCCGGCTCTGATGTCACTGGATGTTGAACTAGGTTGTGCGTGCTCTCCTGAGGACGAGAGATCCTGGCTGCTCCTGTCTGCTTTTCCCTTTCCTCTCACATCTTGCTCATCCTCTTTCTCGACAGGACGGTCGGGCCTGGTCGATTGCTCGTGGGAGATCGAGGTTGCTGTCCCTGTGTCGACCTTGCCGTGAGAGAATTTTCTTTCATCGCCTTGGCTCACATCGATTTTTCTGGAGCTTACAGACTCTCTCGAGCTCACGCACGCATCAATCTTGATCTTCTTTGCTGGTGTTTCTTCGTCTTTCTGAACATGATCATTGACTTGGCAGATGCTTCTCTTCGCACTGGTGACTTCCTTCGAGTTCACATGGGTCACCTTCGCTAGAGACTCCGTGTGATCGTTGCGCTCCTCCACGTTGATGTCATGGGACCTTGCCGCGTCATGAGCTTCCTCTTGCTTCTCCTCTTTCTTGGATTCTTGTGATGGCCTCTCCGTCGCACTGACAGCATGCAAGTCAACGAACACGTCTCCAACTCACGGTACTTCACCTCCTCGCTGTCGCTTCCTCCTCCTCCCTCCCTGCATCTCTCTCAACCTTCCGTGCACTTGGGGCAGCTGCGTTTGTGCTCGCCGGGGGAACGATGCCATGTTTGATCAGCGCTTCATGGTTGGCTGGGTGGCTGAACTCCTGGAAGTGCGTGGGGTTGTTTCTGTAGCAGCTCGACCCAAATCTGGTCGAGGAAACGATAATCGTCAAGGGGAGAAGAGGAGTTGGGAGGAGAGAGGAGAGGGGTGGGTGGGGAGGAGAGGAAGGGAGAAACGGAATAGGAGGAATGAGAAGTTACGCGGAAAGAGAGGAAGTGCAGATTTCAGACTTACTGGCATCTGGGCTTGTCCTTGGGCAGGTACTCTTCACTAGGAGAGCTTGCGGGAGCATGTGCTGCTCTTGGATGCGAAGAAGGGTGGCTCTCCTGCAAGAAGTGATTCGGATTCATCCGCTTGCAGTCAAGCCCGTATTTGCACTTGATCAGCCCCGAAGGAATCCACGTAATGCTCCCTCCTGCGTCTGCCCCTGCCCCTCCTGCCCCTCCTGCCCCTCCTGCCCCGGCACCTGCACCTGTCCTTGTGCTTACTCCTCCTTGATCCTGCGATCCACTCGCCGAGGAGCCTGCAGCGGCCTTCGCCTTGAAATGTGCGTGGAGTGGAGGGTGAGAGCAGGAGTCGAAGTGCGAAGGATTGTTCCGAACGCACTTGAGTCCGTACTCGCAGGGCGGGGCACCCTGTGGGATCCATTTGGCTGTTGCTGAAGGGCTCAGGTCCTCATGGTCGGACTCGGACAGCGAGTCTTCTGACTCCTCCTCCGAGTCCTCCACGACGAAATCGTCTTCGCTGTCGTCCTATCTCCCATCCGTCAGTTACTTGCCATGTCACCGCAAATCAGGAAGACCTGGGCGGGTCGACGAGATTTCCGTGGCATCCTGAAGCAAGATGACCATTCAGATAGACTTTACAATCGCGTTTGTGTGGTGAATGCAGTCTGAATTTGTTCTCAACACCCTCCACCTACGCTTCTAACAGCTATCGTGTCTTACCTGCCTTGACTGGACTTGAGAACTGATCCGATCTCAACAAACTCACTCCTGCTCTCCTCTGTTTCTCTACTCCACTCTTCCATCACCGGTCTCTCACCATCCTCAACATGCTAGCCCACGCACATCCCGGCATTCTATCCGTGCCGCATCCTTCACCGCATTTCTTCAGTGCATTCAGAGTGCATTCTTCAGGCATTCTTCCCTGCATTCTTCCCTGCATTCTTACCAGATTCGTCCTACCACGGCTCTGGTCTGCCAGATTTCGCGGTTTCAACCTGAATTTGAATTGGCGTGAATGTCCTGAGGGACAGACGGCACATGGGAATGGGAGGAAGAGGGAGGAGAAGGAGGAAGGAGAACGAGGGAGGAAAAGGAGGAAGGAGAACGAGGGAGGAGAGAAGGTCAGAAGGAGGGAGGGAGGGAATTAGAAGGAATGGGGGATGGAAACATGGCGGGTAGTTCGAACCCCTGCGTGGGCCGGGCAGTGAGTTTTTTTAAGATTTGGTTTGCTAACAACTGTGTCTTCAGTATGTCGACCACTTCTCTGCATCCTGCTTGTCAAAGCATTCACAGCCATTTCGAGTCTTGCAGTGAAGATATCGCGATGATAACGAGGATCCTCGAAGAAGACTTCCAGCGAGAAGGCTCCTACTCCAAGGCGAGTAATTGTTTTCCCCTGCCGTTCCCCTGACACCTTCCCCACAGAACCCTGTGAAAATTCTCGAGCGCCTGCGTGCCTTGAAGGAGGACCTCCCTAAGGTCCAGGATGAATGGAAGCGCGTCATGCTCGCCAGGCAGAAGCTGCTCGATTCAGCCAAGCAACAGCAGGGCATGAATCGAGCTCTGAAACAGATGTGCGAGACAGCAGATGTCCCGATTGCCTGCACCGACGCGCAAGATATTTTCTCGAGCTTCTCCTCGAAGCTAAATGATTGGAGCAAAGACAACATGAAGAGATATGAGAGCATGCGCAACGACCTCGCACTGATCGCCTCCGAAGACCTCGACATGGAAGTTCTTACCACCATGAGCACTCACCTTGCAGTGGAGGAAATTCCGGCTGACGATGGACTCGGAGGAAAGGGAGGAGGAGGAGGAGGAGGAGGAGATCAGGAGAACGAGAACCCGAACGCAACGCCGTGCGACGAGGCTCCAGCGGGGGAGGTCAAGAAGCAGAAGCCTACCCATTACATCACAGAGGAAGAGTTCCTGAGCGTTTCCAACGTTGTCCGGGGAAGGTGCAAGCTAGACGAGTGCAACACACTGCTGGATGTCATCCTAGCTCATTGCCGCAAGACCAAGAGCTCGCATCCGATCTCGACCGTTGAGCTTGTCAAGATCGGTGCGAGAGTGACTGGACAGACAGGGGGCAGTCGACTTGCTACCCTCCGAAGCTTGAAGAGGATCGAGATCAGCAAGGAAGGAGTGCAGCTCAGCTCCAAGTGGTTCCCCCGATAAACATGTCATGGATCCTCGTCCGAGGGCTCGGCTGTGCTCACAGTGTTTCTCACCCCGGCAGCCTGGCAGGCTCTCTCATCCGACTGAGTGCTAAAATACTTGTGGCGGCGGTTGAACCGTGAACGGCAACTGATCGCGGCACTTACTACTTTGTTGGTAATTTGTGATTGATAAGCGAGTACAACTTGCTCGACTCGATGAACTGAAACTCCCGGGACGGCCCTGTCACTGGCACTGCCATGATCGGGGGTCGCCCGGCCCGCCTCGCCGGCGGGCCGGGCCCGGGGACTGAGCCCGGCGCTGCCGGCACGACGGTACGGTATCGCCGGTGACGGGTCCGCCCGCGGCGGCAGCGGCGGCCCCGCCGGCACCACGGCGTCAGGCGTGCCGTGACACTGTGCACTTACTCGGACTCAGGCAGTGACTCAGCAGTGCTGGAGTAATCGCCGACACTGTGACGCCCCCGTGATGAATGCTCCCCGCCGAACTTCGGAAACTTTCGGGTTGATTATGCGCTCCCTCTCAGATTTTCTCACTTTCACTCTGGCCTCCCTCTTCAGTTCTGTCCTCTTCCTCCTCCTCCTCCTCCTCTACCTCCTCCTCCTGGGCGTGGCGGCGCCACGCCCACTGGCAGGCCCAGCCCGCACCCGGTGACCCGCCGGGGGCCGGGCCCGCGCTGACTCCCGAGCCCGCGGTCGCGCCGGCTCATCGCTCCCGGAGTCCGGCTGCACTGCGGCGGCGGGCGGCCATGGGGGCCCGCGCCCGGCCCGCCGGCCGGGCCGCCGCGGCCCCTCCCGGGTCCAAGCCTTGAAGGCTCCGTGGCCACTGCCAGGCTGAAGGCGGCGGCGGCCCGGCGTTATCTTTTCTAATCTAGTATCTTTACTAAGTTATACCGTACTCCCCTTGGTCGTTTATAGGTAGCTCATGCAAGTCTTCCCCTACCCGATCTCTTGACCCTACCTCACCCCTGTCTTCCCCCAATCTTACCCCACCCCCTCTTTCCTATACCATATACCGGTCAATGTTTCTAGCCCAACAACCCTCTCACACGTGCGGGACCCCCCACCCCAAACTATGGCTCGGTACCCCTCCAAAAATTCAGTACCCCTGTTCCTCAGAGAAATAACCCCCAACAAAAGCGTTATCACCCCCTTCCCTTTATCCACTACCCCTGCTCCAAACACATGCGAGTAGCTCAACTCAAAATCCGCTGGAGGGCAGGGTCGCATCCTGAGCATATGACCAGATCTACAAAATGGTTGTGGCTGCACGTCCCCTCACCCTCCACCCTAAAGTCAGGCCTCGTTGTACCCCTCCAATATTTGCTCCAATGACAAATCATGACCCCCACCCACATTTGGTCATTTCCTGTTAACCCAACCCCCACTGGTCATTTGATTGACTACCCCTACTCCCCAACATTACTTCTCTTGACCCCACAAATGACCAGATCGTTTTCAATATGGTCAACATCGTTACTACCCCCACCCCACTAAATCCTCTTCTACCATCCCCTACCCCATTGAAAACGATGGAAATGCCAATTAACAATAGTTCATGCTGCCGAACCCTGTTCCATGAGCACCCCTGATACTTGAACCCCTACCCCCCTGGTGATGTACCCCACCACTCCCCTACAACATCTTCTTGGTACCCCCCGCCATCTGCTCTGACGGGTTCATTCGATGGAGATTCATTGTGTGAGAAAAACAAAAAATGGTAGGGTGGGTACTGAATGTCGGGAGGGGGTAAGGGGGCCCTAAGGGTGGGGGAATATCCATTAGTAGTCTCGTGATGAGAGAGAAGGGGAAGATGAATTCCGTTGCAATTGCGCTATCAAGGGTAAAAGGGGTAGAAGATAGCCTTTTTACATTATTATCTCACCTATATTATTGCGCATCTTTACCCCCCAGCCTCCTTGATCCACAAGATCCATCAAGAGCGCTGAGAGATGCGGGGGAGTAGTGGTGCAGGGGGAATAGAAAGTCGCAGGGCGGTAGTGGGTACTAAAGATGCTCTCTTAGAGGGTGGGGGTGGTTTGCAGTGAATCATGTCCCCATGAAATTCAGATCTCACCCTACCCCCAAATGCACAAGTAGTGAGTGTGTACCCCTGATGGAAATGCTCACAACAACGGGTAGGGTGATCACCCCCACCTGAACTGGACATCAGTAACATCCACGGGAGATCAAGGGGGTCCAATTGATTAACCACCCCACCCCCTGTGGTCTCTTATTCCTACCACCCCCTTGCTCGGTAGAATGATCATGATAAGGGAACGGATCTGCATTTCATGCTCCAGGTGGGTACTTGAGGGTAATTGAAGGGGTAGGGGTACTTCATGTACCCCCTGTAATCAAGATGTCATCTTCCCCTACATAGCCACACATCCCCCAACTTCAGAATGACCACCCCGACCCCCTGACCCACCGACTCTCACCCCTCCCTAGTCACAGAGGTAGTATACAACCCTCCTGCATCACTATATTGTACATCACTTAGGGGTAGGGGTGAGTTATCTTTTGTGTTTTTAGCACCCTTTTCACTTGCCCTCCTCTCGCTCCTCCTTGCACTTTGCTTCTCCTCCCTGCGAGCTTTCTTTTCCTCCTTTCCTCTCCCTTCTGAGATCCACAGCACCGAGAGTTCTCCCCTCGATTGCAAACTCGCTCTCCTCTCTTCTCCTCCTCCTTTTCTTCTTTCATTTCTTGTCTTGTCATCTGTTGCGGGGATTCTCTCATAAAATAGGGTAGGCTTTTCGAAACTTCCGCACAAGCGATCATGCCGCTCTCCGAAGAGCAGATTCAGACAAACTGTGACGTACCGGGGTATGCAGATCCACTGAAACTGCAAAGTCCAGTATCAGTGCTGCTCTACCTGCTTGGTATCAGCTGGTTGGTGGTCGGAATTCGTTTTCTTAGTGAACGATACTTTGCGAAATCGATTGAAGCCATGATTCGAACCTATCACATTCCACAGGGAATTGCAGGAGCAACTCTCATGGCAGCAGGGACGTCTGCACCTGAATTGATCTCATCTCTTATTGGGGTATTCGTGGCCAAGAAAGTCGACACGGGAGCGGGCACTGTGATTGGCAGTGTTATTTTCAACCAGCTTGTTATCATTGGTGGGATTATCACGGTTTCACCTGGTCGGGTGAGAGCTGATGATTCTTCAACTCACTGTTTGTAACCAGTTCCGTGCAGCGAGTGGTTGTAAACGGACTCGACATGGTTCGTGACATGGTCTACTATGCCATCAGCATCGCACTTTTCTGCGCTTTCTTTAACGATGGGAAGGTGAGCATCTCAGAGCCTTGTGTTTAAGCCTGATGGATCGCACAGGTTACCTTAGGAGAAGCCTGGGGCTTCACAGTAGCCTACATCGCATACGTGGCCATCTGTGGCAACTGGACCATGATCGATGTCTGGATCAAGAAGCGATTCGGCAAGGATTCAACTCCCATCCCGACAGTGGAGATGAAGGAGGAGGACAAGTACAAGTCAAACACGGCCATGGACTCCTTCTACCCACAGAGTGCCTCGGAATCTGAAAGCGCCATGTCCTTCCACTTGGACATGCCTCAGCCTGTCCTCCATCACGCCGCTGTCAGTGGCAAGGCCTTCGGAGCTGAACCTGCTGGCGAGCCTGAGGAGGGCTTGGCGGTACCTCACATCCAGGGAGCCCCGGTTCCCTTCGGCCACCATGTTCAAGTGCCTCACATTGGGAACTCGCTCACTGCCCAGTACGTCCCCCCTGCCCACCTTCCGCCGAACCATGCTGCTCTGACCGGGGTTCAGCTCAGCTCCAGACGCCCGCAGGCAGTAGAGAGCTTCTTGTCTGTGGCATCGACCGATGGCGGCGTCAGTGGCACTGCCCACGAGGAGAGAAATCTCATCAACCGTCGTGAGCTCCACACCAAGTCATGGAATGACGCTGCGTACACCCCCGACGAGCACGAGGAGCCGATCAGCCCATGGGAGGAGTACGAGATTGTGATGGCTAGCGATTCGCTGATCAGAAAGATCTACTTCTTCATCGAGGTTCCATGGATCGCAGCCGTCTATCCCATCAACTCTTGGTTCTTCTACAACCACTGGCATGTGACCAACTTCTTCCTGTGCCTGGGCTGGTTCACCCTAGTCTGCATGTTCTTGATGTTCTGGCTACAGAAGGCAGGCTGCGTGATTGGAATCTCTGCTGGAGTGATGGGAGTGCTGTTCGGAGCTGCAGGAACGTCCCTGCCTGATTGCTTGTGCTCGTTGTACATGGCCAAGAAGGGTCAGGGTACCATGTCGTTCACCAACGTCTGGGGCTCCAACGTGTTCGACATTCTTTTTGCTCTGGGTATCCCATGGATGCTCTCGGTGAGACAACTGAAAGTCGACATCTCTTGCCTGTGCTGACTTGTTGCAGATGCACGTGTATGGGGGTACGATCCAGGTGGAGAACTCACAAGGATTGTCAATCTGGATGAGCGTTGTTTTCATCCTCTTCTGCGTTCAAGCTTTGATCTCCAAGTTTCACTTCAACATGTGGCATGGGAGTGGGTATCTTGCTATTTATGGTCTCTTTATCATCTACAACTTCGTGAACGACAAATACAAATTCGCCAATTAAGTTAAACTTAGATAAATTTTTCGTTTCTTCTCCATTTGTTGCCAGTTCAACTTCCGACTTTCCTCCTTTTGGCCTCCAACCCTGATAACTTCTGTCACTTTTCGAACTCCTCCCCCTCCCCCTCACCGTTGGATGGAGCTGTCGATGGTCGCTTGCTGGTGTCAGACTCTGTTCTGGGATCAGCAATCGCTCCTCGTCCTCGACTGTCTCACCTGCGGCCACATGTCGAGTCGCCTTGCCGAGCTCACACTGACTGATGAGCGACGAGAAGCGCAGTGTACACAAGCTCTCGTGAGTCTGCCAGCAGGCATCAGCAACCCCCTCCTCCTCCCCTGTCCTCCTCCTCCTCGCTTCATTCCTACCGAAGTTTCAGACGGGGAGAGAGCGAAGATGACGAGGGCCTGCAGCAAGTCAACAAGAGGAGGCGATGCTCGAGCCATGAGACCTTTCCGTCCCCGCTGAAGCAAGGCTGAAGTAGGAAGGTGAGCTTGGAGTTGCTGCGCACATCCCTTCAGTCCCTCCTCCTTCTCCCCCTCCTCCTCGTACCGGAAGGGGACATGACTCTTCTTCTGGGAGATGGAGGTGAACACGTCTCCTGCACATCAGGTGAGCGTGTCGATCCCTCCGTTCTCATCCCCGTCACCGAGAGCGCTCAGCGACTTGTTGATGGATTGGGTCTCTTTCAGTCTGTCTCCTGCTCCCCAGTCATCTCCCCTCCTGCTCCTCCTGCTCCTCTCATACCAGTTGCATTCGACTTTGCTAACCGCTCGCTGCCCGCAAGGTCGACCAGGTTGAGACTGAAGGATGGCGGGAGGTCAGAGGAGAGAGAGGAGGAGCGAAGTCAGCAAGACTCACCTGCCATGCAGGACCTGCCGAGGTCCATCCGGGATCTCCTTGGTTGCCTGAATGCGGATCTACGCCCAGGTGTGAGAAAATAGACGATGAAGAGGAGAGGGAGAGGAGAGGAGAGGAGAGGAGAGGAGAGGAGAGGGAGAGGTGAGGGAGAGGGAGAGGGAGAGGGAGAGGAGAGGAGACACGAGAGAAAGGGATGTGGGAAGGAATTGAGACCTGGAAGACGGTGTGACTGCGAGAGGATCGCTCGTTCATGTCAGTTCCCTTCACAGTGCGATGTTTCTCCGAGGTTGTCATCAGCTGCAGTGACAATCAGCAAGTGGAAGAGAGGGAGGGAGAGGAGGAGAGGGAGGCAGATACAACAAGGGCTAGAGTCATGGTCACAGAACGATCATGGGGAGGAGAAGTGGAGGAGGAGAGGACAGCAAACCTTGTGAATGTCCTCCCTGGTGCAGACAAGAACGGACATGAGATCAGTCACAGACATGAGCCCATTTTCTCCCTGTCTGATTGTGTAGCTCTTTCCCTGTAGACAAGTCTCATCTCCCTGCCCCTGCCCCTGCCCCTGCCCCTGTCGCCCTCGGCCTCACCTCCAAGTCCTTGGGGTCGCAGAGCAGATCGCGAATGCTCTCGTTGTAGATCTCCAGGCAGGAAGCATGCAGCGTGTACTCCCACCTGAGGTCTTGTAAGGGAAGGAGAGAAGTGAGGGAGGAGGAGAGGGGAAGGGAGGGGGAAGGGAGGGGAGGGGGGCAGGCCCACCCGTTGTCCTTCATGGCCTCAATGGTAGCGAGGATCTGACGGTCGCGTTAGGACCTCCTGGTCCTCCTCTTCTCAACCTGCTCGATGGATCTCGGGATGATGCCCTGGTGGTCTCCTCCTCCGCCGATCATCGTGTGCGTCTTTCCTGCTCCGGTCTGGCAGAGGGGTCAGGGGATGTAGCCCTCTCCTCCTCCTCCTCCTCCTCCTCCTCTCACCTGTCCATAGGCTAGCAAGCTCACGTTGTAGCCATCCAGCGCACTTTGAACGAAATTCTTGACCTGATAGGGAATCAGTGAGTGAAGGAGGGAGTGAATGAGAGGAGTGAGGGAAGGAGGGAGGGAGACAGAGCGAAAGAGGAAAGGCAGAGAGTGGAGCACCAGCAAGGATGCAAGGAGGAAGGAGGAGTTGCAAGGAGAGGGCAAGGACCGGACCTCTTCGAACACGTCGGTCTGAGTTGAGTTCTGCCCGAAGCAGCGATCGAACTTGAAGTCGTTGTTGGACCCTCCGTACGGGAGAATCACCTGCTCACTCTCTTTTCATCTGTAGTTTTCTCTCCTTCTCCTCCTCCCCTCGCTTCCCTCCTCTCCCTTCCCTCCTCTGTCTCACGCTTGCCCCCATCCCTTCTCGCTCCTACCGTGCCAAGGTTCTCGTCCAGTGACATCGGGCATGTTCCTTCCTGTTCGCAGATGAGAAGCAGATGGGAATGGTGGGAGGCTAGGAGAGAAGGAAACGAAGAAAAAAATGATTGGGAGGAGGAGGAGGAGGAGGAGG